AAAATTTAAACTATTTGTCAATTCATAAATGATGGAGTTCGCAACGTTTTGCAGTCAAACTCCAGACACAAACATAGGAAAGGCTTCTCTGCTGAATATATAGAATATGTAAGTGCCTAGGACATCAGAGCTTCCTACTCTCCCACTACTATAGCATATTCTTAAGTAACTCAACTATCTACTTGTTTCTCCTTCCTTTTGTTTCAGCACTGTTCCTAATAACCCTGGGAAAGAGGTGTGGCAGGAAATGCTCCAGGCTTCAGCACCTGCAGCTTGGTCCAGGAATATAGGTGTGCACCCTGACCACTAGTTGCTCCTTGGAGCATAAAGTAGGTATGGTCTGGCATCAGGAAGACTTATCTTCATGAGTTCAAATCTAGTCTCAAACACTTACCAGCTCTGTGAGCCTGGGCAAGTCCCTTAACCCTGTTTGCCTCCATTTCTCATCTGTAAAATGAACTGGAGAAGGAAATGGCAAACCACTCCAGTATCTCTGTCAAGAAAACCTCAAATGAGGTCACAAAGAGTAGGACATGACTGGAAAATGACTGAACAACAATAGCCCTAACCTTCAGTGCTTCCTCTGCCCCTTCAAATAATTTCTCTTCTCTAAGAATTTAACACCCTAAATGAAATCCAAGGTATGAAAAACACATGGACAGCACTAACCAAGGTAATAAGACTCTTTGTCCAGCAGTAAATACAAATTCAAATATTGATACTTTAATTTTTAAATACAGCATTATAGTTATTTTAACTCTAATATTAATATATTAACTATGTGACATAGGCTTATTTTATATCTCTATGAGTAAGAAAATATACCAGAAATTTACACTGGGATCTTTGAACAAAACATAAATTTAGATATGAGGAATTCCTAAAAATGTCTTCAGGAAAAATGTTACGAGTCTAATCCAGATTTTACTGAAGTCATTGCCAAGGGATGTTAGGGTAGGATCACTGAAGTTTTGCATCTTCATCTATCCACAACAAGGCAATAGTCAAAAGCTGGAAATGTTGTGTACATAAAAAAATGAATTCTTCAATGAAGAAAGGAAGGTAGCCTTGTTAACCAGTCCTAAGAAAAAGGGTGAAAAAATAAACTTTAAGATGTTAAAGACTTTTGAGATATCAGGGTACATTCTTGAGAATTACGACCATTACAATAATTACAGGAGGTCAAATTAATTTAGATTAGCGTCTCTTGAAATAGTTAATGAAAGTATATTGTGCAAGGGAGTGTGAAGAAGGAGAGATATGAACGGTTACCCTTTTTTATCTTTAAAGTATGAGATAACTGGATAGAACATTAAGGTCCGGTTCTGACAAGCTCCCTGAACATATGGGTGATTAATTGGAGCATTGTGCCAATCCAAAGCACTGAGAGAGCTTGACTTTCCCATAGTTACTCAGACTTTGTATATGAGGCAGAACGCAGATGGGGAACAGAAACAAGAGTCTAAGCAGTTATCAGTTAATGAATTTTGGGTAGCTCAGGCGTCACCCTACTGACTGATGTTGCCACCAAAGCTATTTGAAGGAAATAATTAATCAAAGAAGTGGTTGAGATAATAACGTCATGTTATACTAACTTTGAAGTCTTTCAACTTCCAATTTCTTTCACACTAACTCATTTGTTCTTTTCTATGGAGTTATTTTCTGACTGGTATGGCTAAGTTTTTGGCACATCAGGGTGAGTTCTACTATGTCCTCAGTGACTCCTTTTTCCCTTTAAGTTCAAAGTATTTAATAATTTGTATTTTGATTAAAAGTCCTAAACTTTGTAAAATTGCTTTTATTTTACTTTATTTTTATTGACATATTTTGCTCTTAGATCACCTTCTTTTCTGAAAGTACTTCTTCATACCCCATGAGCAAATATTTTAAAAGAGAAAAAAAGCTGTCCAGCAAAACCAATGAACACCTTGACTGTGCTTGACAATATACAATGCTGTATACCTGATAGTATGTGCAATACCATATCCATAGTCCCTCTGCAAAGAAAAAAGGAAGGTGCATTTTCTCAACTCTTCTCTAGAGCCAAGCTTGGTAGTCTGTAAACCTTTAAAAGGTGCATATAGTCCTTTGTAAAGAAAGGCCTAGTGGACTAGAAAAAGGGATTGCTTAAGACCAAGACAAACATGCACATATGTAATACATATATGTGTACAAATATGCATGTATATATACATGTATCTGTACATACCTTTGTACACACACATCTATACCACAGTTTTTCACACTCCGAGACTATTTCAATTTCCTCTTAATGTGTCTCTTCTCTCCTTCCAGTTTTGCCTTACTTCAAATTTTCTTTCATACTATATCATATTACTGTTTTTTAAAAGCACCATTTTCATTATGTTACTCATCTGCTCAAAATTCTTGGCTTCCTTATGCTTATAGGTTAACATTTAGATTGAGCTTGGTACTCAAAGCCTTCCATGATCTATCTAGTCCTAACCAACACAGCTAGCCTTATCTCTCATCACTATCATGTATGAACCCATTTCCTCTAGGAAGATTGATCTATGGGTCCACTCACTGTTCTCCAAGTGATCCTTTTTTTAAAATTGTGACTTTGTTAAGGCAGTTTTCCCCTATCTGGGATATTTTGTTTTGTTTTATTTTTCTTTGCTTATCTGAATCCTGCTCACCTTTCAAGATCAAACAAGAGTCCCATCTCCACTCCTGCCTAGAGTAATTTCTATTTCCTCCTATCCGACTTCTCTCTATCGCTCAGGTTATAACTCCTTATACTGCCTTGCAATACTCCTGTTTCATGTATGTATGTCATATCTCTTGACCTTGATTGTAAGCTTCCTAAAGATATCTGGGCACTATATTTTACAGTTATTTCATATTTTCCATTAGTACGATACTGGGCAAAGAAAAGGGTCAATAAACATGTGTTGGATTGGGAACTGATCTGGACAGCTTACACCCATGAAAACAATGAATAGAAACATAAAAGGAGAACTAAGGGACATAGGTTGTCAATTAGAATGTAAGGATTTTCAGGAACCAGGACCAAAGAGATTTTTATTTGAAAAGAAGCTTTCCCAAGATAATAGCTGACTGATACTCAGAAACTCAGAAGAACCATTTTAATGGCAGGATATGACATGATTCAAGGAAATGATTCTTTACCTTCTCCTCTGCAACAACGGGTTCTAGGAAATCAGAAATGCTCAAATGCCTCCAAGTTCACCCTGATGTCAGTGGGACAGCTTTTCATGTGTTTGTGAAGATGCTAGGAAGTGAGAAAGGGTATAGTGACACTTCTGGGACCCCTTCTGACACCACTCTTGTCTTGTTATCTGGACATTCACTCCTGTGCTGTCAATCCCTCCCTGTCCCATACTCCTTAGCACTCCTGACTCCTTAGAATGGCATAGTCAGTCACGTACCCTCCGTTCCCTGGAGGTGTCTAGCCTCTTATTACAGTTATTCCTTCCACAACGTGGGGGTTAGGGGTGCAGTGCCCCCGCAGTCTGGAAAACCCACATACAATTTTTAGCCCCTCCTTTGTACCAGAGAAGAAGTCTGAATTATTATGGTATTAAAAGATAAAATGTGTTCGGGGCAGCTAGGTGGCGCAGTGGATAGAGCACTGGCCCTGAAGTCAGGAGTACCTGAGTTCAAATTCGGCCTCAGACCAAACACTTGACACTTACTAGCTGTGTGACCCTGGGCAAGTCACTTAACCCTCAATTGCCTAAAAAAAAAAAAAAAAAAGATAAAATATGTTCATATTACACAATACTATGCATATATTTTACGCATTCCTCAGTTTCTAAACTTTTTTCTGGGTCATGTGCTGGCCTTCACTTGTTTTCTACAGCTTCTGCAAAACTCCTCTCAAATTCTTATTTAATTTCTTATGCTGACCCACAATATATCAAAACCATGATAGGGAAAGTCATGATGTGGAAGGGATAACTGCACTTTCAGTTTCTCCTCCTCTCAATGGAGAAATGTTGGACCACAAGGCAGACAATAGGAAATCGGTGATTTCCTGATAATAACAGCGCTAATAAATTGCTAAATACTATCTCTACTACTGCTTCTGCTGCTAGCTAGGATTTATAGAGTACTTAAGATTAGTAAAGCTCTTTACTAATGGTATTCCATTTTGTCTTCACAACCACCCTGGGAGGTATTAACTATTTATACTCATTTTACAGATGAGAAAACTGAGTCAGGCAGAGGTTAAATGACTTGTCCAGGGCCATATAGCTAGTAAATGTCTGAGGCCAGATCTGAGTTCCATCCACTGGGCCACCTAACTACCTTTCAGATTGGTAGAATGTGGAGTAACATTGTGATTCCTCAAATCAAAATATATAATTTATTGATTGTTTATTCCTATTGGTAGTTAATGTGATTCTGGAATATGCTAATCTACATTTTTATCTATTTTAGCATATCTTAGGGATAAGACACAAAATCAGCCTAGAAAATTCTAGAACCAAAAAAAAATCATTGGCATGAGTGGTACCCTGAGTTTTAACATGCAGTTGGAAATGGTTGATGCTGGGCTGTACCCTCACCTTACACCTCTGGATTCCACTTTGGTTCAGGGCTCCCCACTACCACTTCAGAGGTAAAAGTCCAAAGTCAGGTTGCAAGTTCTCAATGGTACCTGATATGGAAAACTTCTGGCTGTAGTTTTGGTGGGCTTTAGGAATTTGAGTCATCTAGTTCATTCAAGGACTCCAACTCTTACCCCAACTCAAGTCAGTCAATGGGGTTATGGAACTGACCCAACCTTAGTCTCGTCCGTTCCTGTGGCTTCTTCTTCCTTGTGGCCAGCATATGACCCAGAAAAAAGTTTAGAAATTGTGGCTCCTTCTTCCTGTGGCTTTCCCTACTCTCTCCTTTGGAATTCCAGATTCTCTGAAAGATCCTTTACTTGGAACATTCCAAGATAGGAACTTCTTGTTTCCTGCATGATTAGGGGTTCTTTGGCTATGACTACAGAGGTGGGAAATTTCTCAGATCCATCTCTCCCCTCCCCCTAAAACTCCTAGAGCAGTCTCAATGCCTGAACCCCTAAGCTTCCCTGAAGCATGATTGACTCTCTCTTCTGACCATGGTCTGGAGACCCTCTTGCCTAAGGCTCCCTGCTGCCATTCTTGTTTTCTGGGCTGCCCCAATCCCTGTTCCTTGTCATTCTCACCTTCTCCTCCCTTGGCTATCTCCAGGTAAGCCATGTTGCCTTTCTTTTGGAAGGCCTTCCTTTAAACATAATGAATAAAAGAAATTATTGCTTTCAGTATTGATTGGCTCACTAATTCTTTTATGAAGCTTCTTTTTGTACCATCAATGGAGCTTGATAGTGAACATGGGTCATCATTTGAAACATTATTGAAAACTGCATGTTCCCGCCATGAGTTGCTCAATTGACTTTTGAGTCATAATCTTTTAAATAATAAACATATTTTTGAATATGCTTTCAAAGATATGGACCTGTGAAAAATTCAGTAGATTCCATTTTTTTCCCCAAAACAAGGAAAATAAATTGGGTAATATTCTATAGTTCAGACTTCCTTTTACTAAATTGTAAACTCAGCTAGGTGATGCAGTGGATAGAGTGCTGGATCCAGGTAGAGTCAGGAAGACCTGAGTTCAAATCCAGCTTCAGATATATACTAGCTATGTGACCCTGGATAAGTCACCTCACCCTGTTTGCCTCAGTTTCCTCAACTGTGAAATGCGCTGGAAAAGGAAATGGCAAACCTACTTCGGTATCCTGCCCAAGAAAAGTCCACAGAGGCTCATGACTGAAATGACTGAACAGCAACAACAACAAACTTAAAAGGACTGTTTTAATTTACCTCAGTGGTTTTTGAAGGTAGGTCCCTTTCAGAAATGGAATCTGTTGTTAATTTCACATGACCTGCTACAAAGAGAAGATCATATTAGACCACTAGAGAAATAATTGACACCTTCTATCAGTTCAGAATAATCAAATAATACCAGTTCATACAAATGGTGATTTAGAGCCAAGTTGGAATCTCAGCTTTGGGGGTCAGAAACCAGTTTTTAAAAATCTTATTTTTATTGATGCCATTCTTTAAATATCAAATCAAGCTGTCAAGCATATATTAAGCTTTTACTACATGCCAAGCCTTGTACCAAGTGCTTGGGATACAAAGAAAGACAAAAATAAAAACAAAAATCCAGTCCCTGCTCTTGAAAACCTCAGAGTCTAATGGTGGAAACAATATGCAAAGAATAATGTACAAACAACATATAGACAGGATAAATTGGAGATAATCAACGGAGGAAAGGAAGTATAATTCAAGGAAATTGAGAAAAACCTCTTGGGGCCTGTAGGATTTTAGTTGTGACCTGAAAGAAGCCAAGGGAAGTCAGGAGATTGAAAAGAAGAAGAGTATTCTAGGAATAGGTGACAGACAGTGAAAAAGTAGAATTGTGAGATGGAGGGTCTTGTGCAAGGAACAGTATGGAGGCTAGTGTGAGTAGATTGGAGAGTTCATGGAGGAGAGGAAGGTGTAAGAGGGCTGGAAAGGTAGGAGTGGGGCAGGTTAAGAAGGGCTTTAAAAGTCATGAGAGGATTCTGTTTGATCCTGGAGGGAATAAGGAGCAATTACCTAGAGGTTATTGAATGGGAGTGGGGTGACGACATGGTCAGACTTTCAGGAAGATCGGTTTGACAACTAAGCGGAGGATGGACTGGAGTGGGAAAATATGTGAGTCAGAGACGTCAACCAGAAGGCTATTGCAGTAGTCCATGAATGAAGCGATGAGGACCTGTACCGGGTTGGTGGCAATGTCAGAGGAGAGAAGGGAACATAAAGAAGAGATGCTCCAAAGGTAGAATTGACAGCATTTCTCATCACATTCATTGCTTAATTATAATCGTTTCTCCTCCCCTCCCCCAGTGAACCACCCCTTGAAAGATTTTTTTAAAAGGAAAAAATATACACCAATTCTGCAAAGTCTAACCTAACCAATATGTCATCCAACTATGTCTGATAGTACACGCAATATTCCACACCCATAGTCACCTGCAGCTGCAATGAAGGCAAAGAGCGATATAGAAATAACTTTTCGAAGTAAGTAGCCTACAAATTACATGGTGTACCAAAAGGCTTATTGCAGTTTTAAGACCATTAAGATAGTGAATAAGCTTAAGATAGTTTAGGCTTGAATTCAAGTCCTAAATCTAGAATCTCTCATAGTTACTGCAGAATTATTTCTGCAGAGGGTTTTGTAGAAGTTTGAGGGAGGATGTACTTGAGAGGACATAGGAAAGTCAAAGTACGACAATAGCCATAATTCTTGTTCAGTTCTCTTTTCTCTTTCTCCTTGGGATGTTATGGGAAAATGAAGAGGTTTGGGGAAATGGTTGGGTGGAGAGGGAGCAACATAGAAATAAAATAACAAGAGTAAAGAGTTTGAAGGAAGAAAAGATGGAGCATTTGGAGGTTCTAATGTTCTCTACAGAGAGGCAGCACAGGACAGCATCTTGGACTTGGAGTCGGAAAGTTTGGGGTTCAAATCCTCATCTTAATTTGAGAAGTAGAATTGAATTAAAATGTCCATGTTGGTATGAATTTCTTTTTGTAGAAAGAAAACTGGAAAAAAAAACAGATCCAACTCACCATTAGATTTACGTTTTATTACATGTTTGCAAATAGGGACATATTGTTTAGTGTTGTTCTTGCATTTCTTTAGATTAACTGATGTCTGAATTACTAGTATTTTTGTTATTGTTGCAGTACCTTGTATCTAGAGGGTCAAAAAATACAAATTAATTACTGATTGACGTTAAAATACAGTAATATTCAGTTATAACTCTGAGCATCTCTCCTCAAAGCACATTTTCTGTGGGTCAGTTAACGCTTCCAATTAGGTATTAACGAAATAACCTAAGTCACAATTGAAAAATTTGGTTAATTATCCAAGTGTTTTCAACAGTCAGTCTGTGAGGACCTGGTAAAAATCAAAATCCAGTTACTGGATTAATTTTTTTCATTCAACTTGTTAGCTTATGGACTTAGTCTTGTGATTAGTAGGCAGATCGGGAGTCAAACCCTACCTCTGAGCTTCAGGAGGTTCCCCAAAACTTTACTAAATTAAATATGATTGGGGATTTGCATTGGTTGGAGTTTTCCTGACCACAAGATCACAGATCCTTGGTTTAGCGATGTTATAATCTACGGAGGATATAGTAGCAAAAGTAGCTTAAAAACACGTAGGCTATAGAAATAAAGATTTGAAAGGGACCCCTTTAATCTCCTTCCCCATGCAGGTATCTCAGTCATTTCCTAATGACAGAGAGCTCACTACTTGAGTTAGCCTTATGAATGTCTGGACAAATCTAATTTTTAGAGGTTTTTTCCATTTACTAAGTTGTATCTGATGGTCTATAATTTCTACCTGTTAGACTTAGGCAAAATAAGTCTCTTGCCTCATCTACACAAGCCTTTCAAGCACTTGAAGGTAGTGACCTCATTGAATTTATCACTTATTTAAGGCAGTTTTCTTATTTCTAGTCTAGATATTACAAATTCTTTCAACTAGTCATTACACGACATAGTTTCTTGAACTCCTCACTATTTAGGCTCTCCTCAATTAAATTCATTCAGCACTTATTAAGTAACCTACTATGTGCAAGCTATTTTGCCTGGTACCAGAGACACATAGACAAAACCAAAAATGGTCCCTATTCTCAAGGAACTTCCATTCTACTGAACTGTCTGGTTTTGTCAATATACCTATTAAATGTGACATCAAGATCAGAACATCAAAATCCAGCTCTGATATAATCAGTACATAATAGAATGGCACTATTACATCCCTTGCCCTGTATGACCTTACATTTCTATTAATATAGCCTAAGATAATGTTTACTTTTTTAGAAACCATGTCACATATGGAATATTATACCATAATAGACATATGGATTATTACCTAGAGGTCACATAAGACCATGCCTTTACCTGATGACAAGTCTTAGGAATTAGTTTGGGTGCAAAATACATTTTCTGTAACTGACAATCTTTTGCACTTCCATATGCAAGAATAACATAGCTTGCAGTTTCGTCATAAATGTCAGCTTTGGTATCTATTGGTACATCTCTCACATACACATTACAGAGCTGTAATTGCAGATTGTAAGTCCAATCCTATAAGAAAAAAAGGAAACAACATATATTTATTTGTGTGTGAAAATCAGTCTCATTTAACAAGTATAAGTACACTCATTGTTTTCAGATGAGCCAGAAGGGGGAAGGGCAATTAGCATCTCACCTCATAAGCCAAAATTTCCTTGACTTTTTGCGCACCAACACCAAGTGCCAACTTGAGCCATATTTTATATTCTATGGAAGGACAGCACTCTTTAAATGTTTCATACAAATGATACTTGGGGATGAAATAGGTCTGGAAAAGGAAGGGAGGAAGATGTCACATCTAAAAGCAGAAATTTGTCATTTCAGTCCTCATTCTTTTAAGAAAGGTGAAAATATTCTTTGCCATCATGGTTTGAAAAAAATGTTTTTCCAGTTTATAGAAACCATAGGAGTGCAGCTTTCTTTATAGTTCAACTCTCATGGCCATACATTGCTACTGGAAAAACCATATCTTTGACTATACAGACCTTTGTCAGCAAGGTGATGTCACTGTATTTTAGTATACTCTCCAGCTTTGCCATAGCTTTCCTTGCAAGGAGTTTTTAATTTTGTGACTGCCTTCTGCAGTGATCTTTGAGTCCAAGAACATAGAATCTGACATTGCTTCCATTTCTTCTCTATTTGCCAGAAAGTGATAGGACCAGTTGCCAAGATCTCAGTGGTTTTTTTTTTTTTTTGTTGTGGTTTTTTTTTTGTATTAAACTTCAAGCCAGCTTTTACACTCTCCTCTTTCACCCTCATCCAAAGGCTTCTTAATTCCTCTCCACTTTCTGCTAACAGAGTGGTATCATCTGCATATCTGAGATTGTTGATATTTCTCCTGGCAATCTTAATTCCAGCTTTTGATTCACCCAGTCTGGCATTTCACATGATATACTCTGCATGTAAGTTAAATAAACAAGCTGACAATGTACAGCCTTGTTTCACTTCCAATCTTAAATCAATAATTTTTTCTGTATTTGGTTCTAAATGTTGCTTCTTGGCTCATATACAGGTTCCTCAGGAGACAAGTAAGATGATCTGCTACTCATATCTCTTTGAGGACTTGCCACATTTTGTTGTGACCCACAGTCAAAGGCTTTAGTGTAGTCAATGAAGCAGAAATAGATGTTCTACTGGAACTCCTTTGCTTTCTCCATCATCCAGAGTATGTTGGCAATTTGTTCTCTAGTTCCTCTGCCTCTTTAAAAACGAGCTTGCATGTCTAGTAATTCTTGGCTCACTTATTGCTGAGGTCTAGCTCACAGGATCTTAAGTATAACCGTGCAGGTGTGTGAAAAGAGTGCAATTGTTTGTGGCCATCATCCATCTTTAGGATTGGGACCTAAACTGATCTTTTCCAATCCAGTCACCACTGCTGAGTTTTCCAAATTTTCCAAATTTCCAAATTTGCATACTGAGTGCAGCTCGTTAACAGCATCAACTTTTAGGATTTTAAATAGCTCGGCTGGACTTCTATCACCTCCACTAGCCTTATTGTTAGCAATGCTTCCTAAGGCCCACTTGATTTCATTCTCCAGGATGTCTGGCTCTAGATCAATAACCACATCGTTGTGGCCATTAGTGATGTTAAGATCTTTCTTGTACAGTTTTTCTGTGTATTCTTGCCACCTCTTCTAAATCTTGTTTACTTCTGTTAAATTCCTACCATTTTTGCCATTTATCATGCCCATTTTTGCATGAAGTGTTCCTTTGATGTCTCCAATTTTCTTGAAGAGATCTCTTGTCTTTCCCACTCTATTGTTTTCTATTTTTTTCATTGCTCATTTAAGAAAGCCTTCTTACTCCTCCTTGCCATTCTCTTTAATCAAACCTCTGCCCAAAATTTTATTTTATATGTTGCCCCTTTTTGTCACTGGGGGGGAGGAGGAGGATTACCATCATTGAACTTGTCAAAAAAATTTTCATTTCATCTATTTATGTTCATTTTAATTTTAGTCACTTAAATAGCTTATCACTAAGCAGATATTTTATTTTGTGTATCAGCTATTATTTACACAGGTTTTCAAGAAGTGGACAATCAGAAGAAACAGACATTCCACTGATAAAAGCCAATTCTTTTCTTCCAAGGAAGAAAAAGAATCTTAGTTAAGGGAAATTTTGTCCCTTTTGAAATTGTGTTTATATATCTTGAAATAAGACACCACCATCATCATTATGATATCTAACATTTATATAGCACCTACTATGTGTCAGACACTTTGCTAAGTACTTAAATATTTTCTCATTTGATCCTCACAACAACCCTGGGAGGTAGGTGCTATTATTATCACCTTTTTATAGGTGAGAATACTAAGGCAAAGAGTCAGATTAAGTTACTTGCCCAGGGTCATACAGCTAGTGTCAGAGGCCAGATTTGAACTCAGGTTTTTCCAGCTCCAGATCTGGTGCTCTATTCACTGTGCCACCAAAGTATTAGAAAACAACCAAGTTTATGAACCTTTTTTTTTTTAATTCAGAAGTCTAGGCATTAAGATACAGAATGTAAAACATCATCAGCTTGAGGTATTTCATTTTATTAGTAAACTTTCTTCATTTATTTTGGTTTTGAATAGCTCCAGTTCTTTAACAATACCTTCCTCTAAAGAGAAAATTACATGTGCCTTTTTAGAAATTTATACTACTTTAAGGCAGGCCCCCAGAACATTTGGGTGGGAAATTAAAATGATTATGAGCATATTTTAAAAGAGTCTGACATTTGGATTAATAATTTATGAAAACTTCAGAAGAATATGAGATCACAAAGAGAAAGGATAATATCCAGCATATTTACTAGAAGTGAAATTAGATTTTCTTTCCCACTAAGATGGATCAGTACTGTTTCCTTCCCAAGTCCCAATGGCTCTTCATTCTTCTCTGCTTTGAAAGGAGAGTAATGCTAAAGGGAGGCAGTGGCGATGATGGCAGCTGACACTTACATTGGACCAGAGCTCTAGAGCTGGAAGTACCATCAGAGACCGTTTAGTCCAGCCCCATCATCGTACAGATGAGGAGACTGAAGCCTAGGGACTTTGATTTGCCCAAGGTCACACATATAATAAGTCTCAGGACTGGGATATGGACCCAGGTCCTTTGACTTATTTTGGGGTCATCATGTTTTAAAATTTACAAGGTGATTTATGTATATGAATGAATTTGAATTTCACAATAGTGTTTGCTTTTTTGTTTTTTTGTTTTTTTGGTGAGGCAATCAGGGTTAAGTGACTTGCCCAGAGTCACACACCTAGGAAGTGTCAAGTGTCTAAGGCTGGATTTGAACTCAGGTCCTCCTGACTCCAGGGATGGTGTTCTATCCATTGTGCCACCTAGCTGCCCCCACAATAGTATTTTGAGGTAGGTATCACATGTATTATTCTCTTCTCTTTACACATGAGAAAACTGAGGCCCAGAAAGATTATTAGCACTGAACACATCTTTACAACTGATTCCAAATCCAGAATTTTTCCCACTGTAACATGGTGCAATGTGAGTTGGTTATCGGGGGGCTGTTGTTATTGTTCAATTGTTTCAGTCATGTCTGACTCTTCATGACCCCTTTTGGGATCTTCTTGGCAAAGGTACTAGAGTGGTTTGCCATTTCCTTCTCCAGCTCATTTTACAGATGAAGAAACTGAGGCAAACAGGGTTAAATGACTTGCATGGGGTCACACAGCTAGTATATGAGGTCAGATTTGAACTCAGGTCTTCCTGACTCCAGGCCTAGTACTCTGGTATAAAAGGAATATGGAGGGTGGATAGGAAACATTTTGTATTACACATGATGGTTTTTTCCCCCCCAGGAATTGTTTTATGCTTGTTAGGAGATTTAAAAAAACAAACAAAAAACTCCACAAAACTTTATCCCAGTGCAGCAATCACACTGTATATACCTTGATTATAGATTCTGAGCTAAAAACAACTTTAGAGGTAATTTTGTTCGTTTTTATAGATTGAAAGAAACCAAATCCCTAAGAAATAAAGTGAGTTGCCAAGGTGAAACAGGTAGGAAATGACTGAACAGAGATTTAGACCCAAGTCCAGTGCTTTCAAACCCAGTTTTCTTCTTCTTCTTTTTTTTTTTTTGGCTAGGCAATGGGGTTAAGTGACTTGTCCAGGGTCACACAGCTAGTAAGTATTATGTGTCTGATGCCAGATTTGAACTCAAGTCCTCCTGACTCCAGAGCCAGTACTCTATCCACTGCCCCACCTAGCTTCTACCTAGCTGCCCCCTAAAACCAGCCTTCTGAAACACTCACTTTCAAAAACAAATTTAAAAACAATGCCAAAATCAAGTAGTCAGAGATTGGTTTTGGGAGGCCTATCCATAAGGAAAACTAAATCACACGAATAGTGGTAAAATTGGGGGCAACTGAGTGACACAGTGGATAGAGCACTGACATTGGGATCAGAAGCACCTGAGTTCAAATCTGACCTCAGACACTTACCAACTATGTGACCCTATGCAAGTCACTTAACCCTGTTTGAGTTTCCTCATCTGTAAAATGGGCTGAAGAAGGAAATGAAGAAACACTCTAATATCTTTGCCAAGAAAACCCCAAAAGGGGATGTGAAGAGTCAGACATGACTGAAAACAACTAAACAAGAACAAAAGTGGTAAAAATTTATACTCAAAACAAGAAAGTAAGTTGGGAAAAACCTATTCGGGTCCCCCACATTTTCTTGTGGAATGTAGGTCCATGATACAGTGTAGCATGAAAAGAACACTAGATTTAGAGTCAGAGTATGTGGGATCAAATACCTACATTGGTACTTGGCTGTCAGTATAACTTGAGTCAACTCTTGGGACCTCCTTCCTCATCTGACAATCAAAGAGGTTGGATTGGACTCGATGATTCTTCTAGCTCTATATCCTGTACCCCAAGCATTATAGTTCACAGTGATTTCTACCTCTGGCACTTAATATCTAGACTATTTGTTTTCCATTTCATCATAAACTACTTCATGGCGTCTCTTGCGTTCTTCTCTTTGTTTACTTAATTTGATGGTAACCTCTCAGAGAGAAGACTATCTATTTCACTTCATTGTATCTGTCACAACTCTAACACAGTGTTCGAAACACCTGGCACCCAGCAATTACTCTTTGAGTTAAAAAATGTCTTAATTGTATTGGACATACTGTAGACCCAGAATAGAGTCTCTTGTTTGAGAAGTAGATGTGAATCCATTCTGGGCCTGTCAGCCAAATAAGTCTTGGTAATTCTCTTCTTTTACAGAACACTTTGAGAAAGATTATATCCTTTTTTCTTTTTCCACAACATTTATATAGCAACCACTTTGAGGTTCATAAAGTGCTTTGCATACATTAACTTATTTCAATCTCATTTCACCAGCCTTATGAGATAGGTTCTGCAATTATTATTATCCATTTCACAAATGAGGAAACAGCCTCAGAGAAATTCAATGACTGTCCTGTAGTCCTACAATACTGGAAGCGGGATTACAGACCAGGTCTTCCTGAACTACGAGGCTTAGCACTCTATCCAATGTGCCACATCCCATTTCTAAGATGATTGTCACTTAGTAAATTACCACATCTGGTTTAGGAGCAGGCAAAGGTACCCCAACCAGTTTGAGAATCTTCCCATCCCTCAAAGTGCTTGTGTAAAAAGAAATATAGAGACCTGAGGCAGACAGGGTGCTTCTGCTATCTCTGGAAGCAGTCATGCCTTGCTTAATCAACTAGTTGTCTAAATGAAAAGAAAAAAAACTCAGAAAAGCTGGCTGTTATGTTTCAGTTAGCTAGTTAGAGCATGTATTAATTATACACTTATATATTTACATTTATATATTTATATTATTTAAATATTTTATTATGTATACATATTTACATATACATGTATATATTTATATAATTTGTTGTTGTTCAGTTGTATCCAACTCTTTGTGACCCCATATTAGATTTTCTTGGCATAGATACTGGGGTGGTGTACTATTTCCTTCTCTAGTGGATTAAGATAAACAGAGGTTAAGTGACTTTCCCAGGGTCACACGGCTCGTATCTGGGGAAGGATTTGAACTCAGGTGTTCCTGACTCCAGGCCTATCCAATGAACCACCTAGCTGCCTCATATTTATTATTATACATTTTATATATGACATATTATACATATTATTTACAACATATTATATATACATACAACAAATATTTATTATTGTATATATTTACATAAAACTAATTGATTGGATAAATTTTGAAGTAATCGTCCTGGCATTGTGCATGATAAATCTTAATGAGTACCACCTATTAACTAATTTGTTTGAAACTGTTCTTTTGGTATGATGATATACACTGAAGTTCATAAACCAGATTCATTAAACAATTCATTAGGTTAGAAAAAATGTGGACCTTTATAAGTGTCTACCATATGCAGGTTTTGTTCCTTCACAAACCTTTTTATGCCCTCATCCTCAGCCTTCATGTAAATGTGTTAAATATAGAAACATCTTTATTAAAAACTTAATAATGAATAAAAGGAAGCAATTATCAGGGGAAGAGGAAGCCATATCCAAATGTTTCCTGACCTCTACTACAGTTTTACAGATGGCAGTAAATTTCACGGGCTCATTGGTTAAGCAGTTCAATTCTCCTATGATTGCCCCACTGATGAGGTAGTCTGCATAAATTACATGATTTCTTTGTTCTATCTCCGAAACCATTTGGTCAATTCCAAAATAAGGTCTGGCACTCTCTTGCTGTTCACAAACAAAAAACAAGATAAAACATATAATTATCCTTCATTACCCCCTACCAAAAAAAAACAAACTTCCCCCCAAAAAAAACAAAACCCAACCAACCAAACCCAAACCCCTTAATGAACCAACATAATCCCCCTCCAAATAATCATTCAATTTGTGGCTCGTTATCATGCCCCATTCTTTGAATATTTATCCTAATACTTTCACATAATTTGACTTTTGGAATTTTTCATTTCTTTTGAAAAAAAATCCTTAAAGAAGGTGATCACAAAAATGGGGGAAAATGAAGTGGCAGTGAAATATTCCTTCCATGTGTTGCCTTTAATGATTCTTCCTACCTTGTGACTCATGCCCCAGACACAGCTTACCCTAAGTCAATATATTATGAAGGTAGCATGTGTGTGGCTACCTCCCTTTTCCCTTTTTGGAGAAGAGAAGGTGGTAACCCATGTATTGGGTGGGGCAAACAACAGGTTTGTTTGTTTTCAGTAAATAATTGAAGTGGACTGGCTCTTATGCAGAAGAGCTGGGCAAAACTTTCCATCCTCATTCTTATCCAGGTCAGCCAAACCCTTCTACAATCAATCCCTTTCTTCTTCTGTCCTCTTGAACTTCTGCTTGATCACAAGCAAACTCCATGGCATCCTACATTTCTTCCGAATACACTCATTGAATCTGAGAGTTCAAATAGGACTCCAGCAGGTGATCATCCAGTCTTTGCCTTAAGATCTTCAGTGAGAGAGGATCAACTCATTCCTGAGACAGTTCATTTCATTTTGGGGTAGTTCTAATTGCTAGAAAATTTTTCTTATACCGAACCAAAATTTCCTACTCTTCTTCGTCTCTATCCCCTTCCTCAGATGTATTCTCACTTTGACTCAGCTACTCTGAATCCTAATCTTTCTTTAAGGTGCAGCTCTGGGGCCACTTTTTCTACGAGACCTTGATCGATCTGTCCAGCCATTCATGTTTTCTCCCTCCACAAATTACCTTGTGCTAACTGTATCCCTTTGGAAGAATGGAAATTCCTTGAGGGTAGACAAATCTTGCTTTTATATTTCTATCCCTAGTCATTTAATGGATTTATCCACTGAATTTAATGGAGTGAGCCTATTAGTGGTGATTGTTACCCATTTATGAATGTAACTGAAAAGATTGGTATGTAGTGATCAGTCTTCTCTGTTTCACGCCACTGTCAAAAGTGTGCTTCTGAAGCAGGCAGTTTGATATAATTGAAAGTGTCTGGAACTTGGCACCAAATCCTAGTTTACACAGACTAGCTATGCATCTTTGGAAATAAATTATTTAACCTCTGTAAACTTTGTGGATGTGAGTTATTAAAACTTAGTACATGGCTTGCATAACCTACCACCACTTAACCCTGCTTCTTTCTGAACTGGCTTTCCTAAGATGCTTTCCTAAACACCAGATTAAAAGCTAAAAAAGACTTAGAGGTCATTTAGTCTAACTCCATTTTACAGATAAGGAAACTGACGCCTAGAGAGGTCAAATGATTTCATCAAGGTAATACAGGTAGTGAGTAGCAAGGAAAAACTTAGTAAGTTCTTAGTGTTATAAAGTTTTAAATGATATCATCTTAGTACAAATTTTGCCATTATGGATTTCTTACCTTTATCATGCCAGAGATAATCAGATATATTCCTGCAAGATTATCACCTTCTTCAAATATTTTGTTTCCACAATCAAAGGTCAAGACTTTGACTCTTTTCTAAAAATCATCAAATGCTCATATAAGAATGATGTTTTTGTTTGAGGGGAAGTCAAGATAAAATAATGACAACAAAATAAAATAATTTCAAAAACTAGCTCAGAATGAAAGGGTGAAAACAAAACTTGGGAGAGTAAGAAAGGAGAGAAAAATAAGTAGAAGTATAAATATTACCTTAATGAAATCTATGTGAAATTTTGATTTACTTAGCCATGGAACATGGTATAACATTTCATCAAGAGAAGGAAGTCTGACAACAGGTTCAAAATCGTACACTTCTCTTTTTCTGGCAATAATCATCTATAAATTAAATCAAAAAGAAATTTAGTCTTGGCTGGCTTTAATGGAACCACTAAAATAGTTACTGCTAACACAATGACATTTCCTATGTTTTTTTCTTTTGAAATTTCTATCTCCTTTCCTCTTGCCTACCCCTCCAATAAGACTCCTCTTTTCCTCTCCCACTACTTCCTTATGTTGCGATTGCCCAGATGGATGGACAACATTTTTGTTTTGCTTCTCCAACACTACTTTTTTATGAAACTATTTTTTATTAATTTATTTTGATTTATCAATAATCACTTCCATATGCTATTGAGTTTAAAATTTTTCTCCCCCTTCCTCCCCACCACCCTCCCCAAGATGGCACACAATCTGATTTAGGTTATACATTTACATTCATATTAAATATATTTTCATATTAGTGATGTTGTAAGTAAAAATTAAAACCAATAGGAGGAATCATCAGAAAGAGGAAACAAAACTCAACAGAAGAGAAAAAAAATAGCAATTCAACTTCCATAGTTCTTTCTTTGGATGTGGATAGCATTTTTCATCACAAGGCCTCTAGAGATGTCTTAGATCCTTGTACTGCCGGGAAGGGTTAAGTTTATCAATATTAGTCATCACACAATGTGGCTGTTATTGTGTACAACATTCTTTTGGTTTTGCTCACTTCACTTAGCATCAGACCATACAAATCTTTCCAGGTTTTTCTGAAGTCAGCCTGTTCATCATTTCTTATAGCACAATAGTGTTCCATCACATTCATATACCACAACTTGCTCAGCCATTTCCCAATTGATGGGCATTCTCTCAATTTCCAATTCTTTGCCACCACAAAAAGAGCAGCTACAAATATTTTTGTACATGTGAGTCCTTTTCCCTTTTGTATGATCTCTTTGGGATATAGCCCTAGAAGTGCTATTGTTGGGTCAAAGGGTATGCACATTTTTATAGCCCTTTGGGCATAGGTCCAAATTGCTCTCCAGAATTGTTGGATCATTTCACATTTCCACCAACAATGCATTATTGTTCCAATTTTCCCACATCTTCTCCAACATTTATCATTTTCCTGTGTTGTCATGTTGGTCAATCTGATAGGTGTGATGTGGTACCTCAGCATTGTTTTGATTTGCATTTCTCTAATCAATAGTGATTTAGAGCATTTTTTCATATGACTATAGATGGCTTTCATTTCTTCATCTGAGAACTGTCTGTTCATATCCTTTGACCATTTATCAATTGGGGAATGGCTTGTATTCTTATAAATTTGACTCAATTCTCTATATATTTTAGAAATGAGGCCCTTATCAGAGAGACTGGTTGTAAAAATTCTTTCCCAATTTTCTACCTTCCTTCTAATCTTAGTTGCATTGGCTTTGTTTGTGCAAAAACTTTTCAATTTAATGTAATCAAAATTATCCATTTTGCTTTTCGTAATGCTATCTCCTGTTTGCTCATGAATTCTTCTGTTCTCCATAGATCTGATAGGTACATAGGTATCCTTGCTCTCCCAGTTTGCTTATAGTATCAGCCTTTATATCTAAATCATGAACCCATTTTGACTTTATTTTGGTATATGATGTGAGATTTTGGTGCCATACTCTTTTCCAGTTTTCCCAGCAATTTTTTTCAAAGAGTGGGTTCTGAGATAAGTCTCAGAAGCTGGGGTCTTTGGGCTTATCAAATAATAGATTACTATAGTCATTGACTACTGTGTCTTGCATATTTGACCTATTCCACTGATCCACCACTCTATTTCTTAGCCAGTACCAAGCAGTTTTGATGATTGCTGCTTTATAATACAATTTAAGATCTAGAATGGCTAGGACACCTTCCCCTGCATTTCTTTCCATGAGTTCCCTTGATATTCTGGACCTTTTGTTCTTCCAAATGAATCTTGTTATTATTTTTTCTAACTCTATAAAATAATTTTTGGTAGTTTGATTGGTATGGCACTGAATAAGTAAATTAACTTAGGTAGAATTGTCATTTTTATTATATTAGCTCAGCCTACCCATGAGCAACTGATGTTTTTCCAATTATTTAGATCTGACTTTATTTGTGTGAAAAGTGTTTTGTAATTGTGTACATAGAGTTCCTGGGTTTGTTTCAGGAGATAGACTCCTAAATATTTTATAATGTCTACAGTAAGTTTAAATGGAACTTCTCTTTCTATCTCCTGCTGTTGGACTTTGTTGGTAATATATAGAAATGCTGATGATTTATGTGAGTTTATTTTATAGCCTGCAACTTTGCTAAAGTTGTTTATTATTTCAAGTAGTTTTTAACTTGATTCTCCAGGATTCTCTAAGTGTAACATCATGTCATCTGCAAAGAGTGATAGCTTTGTTTCTTCTTTGCCTATTCTAATACATTCAATTTCTTTTTCTTCTCTTATTGCTAAAGCTAATGTTTCCAGTACAATATTGAATAACAGTGGTGAAAATGACATCCTTGTTTCACCCCCGATCTTACTGGAAATGCTTCTAACTTGTCCCCATTACATATTATACTTGCTGAAGGTTTTAGATAGATGCTATTTATTATTTTAAGAAAGATACCATTTATACCTAAGCTCTCTAGTATTTTTAATAGGAATGGGTGTTGTATTTTGTCAAAAGCTTTTTCTGCATCTGTTGAGATGATTGTGTGGTTTCTGTTAGTTTTGGTGTTGATATGATCAATTATGCTGATAGTTTTCCTAATATTGAACCAGCCCTGCATTCCTGGTATAAATCCTACCTGGTCATAGTGTATTGTTCTTGTGATAAGTTGCTGTAATCTATTTGCTAATATTTTATTTAAAAATTTTGCATCTATATTCATTAGGGAAATTGTTCTATAATTTTCTTTCTCTGTTTTGACTCTTCCTGGTTTACGTATCAGCACCATATTTGTATCATAAAAAGAATTTGGTAAGACTCCTTCTTCATCTATTTCCCCAAATAGTCTGTATAGCATTGGAATTAATTGTTCTTTAAATGTTTGATAGAATTCTCATGTGAATCCATCTGACCCTATAGATTTTTTTCCAGGGAGTTCATCAATGGCTTGTTCAATTTCTTTTTCTGAGATGGGCTTATTTAAGTATTTTACTTCCTCTTCTGTTAATCTGTGCAATTTATATTTTTGTAAATATGTATCCATTTCACTAAGATTGTCAAATTTGTTGTCATATAGTTGGGCAAAATAATTCCTAATTGTTGTTTTAATTTCCTCTTCCTTGGTGGTAGCTTCACCCTTTTCATTCTTGATACTAGTAATTTGGTTTTCTTCTTTTTTTTTAATTAAATTAACCAAATGTTATCTATTTTATTGGTTTTTTTTTCATAAAACCAGCTCTTAGTTTTATTTATTAGTTCAATAGTTTTCTTAATTTCAATTTTGTTAATTTTTCCTTTGGTTTTCAATATTTCTAATTTGGTGTTTAATTGAGGATTTTTAATTTGTTCTTTTTTTAGTCTTTTTTAGTTGTATGCCCAATTTGTTGATCTCTTCTTTTTCTATTTTATTTATGTAAGCATTTAGAGATATAAAACTTCCCCTAAGATCTGCTTTTGCTGCATCCCATAAGTTTTGGTATGTTGTCTCATTATTATCATTCTCTTGAATGAAATTATTGTTTCTATGATTTGTTGTTTGACCCAATCATTTTTTAGGATTAGATTATTTAGTTTCTAATTATTTTTTAGTCTATCTTTCCATGGACCTTTATTACATATAATTTTTATTGTATCATAATCTGAAAAGGATGCATTTAATATTTCTGCTTTTCTGCTTTAGATTGTGAGGCTTTTATGTCCTAGTACATGGTCAATTTTTGTGTATGTGCCATGTACTGCCGAGAAAAAAGTATATTCCTTTCTATCCCCATTCAATTTTCTCCAGAGGTCTATCACACCTAACTTTTCTAATGTTCTATTCACCTCCTTAACTTTTTTCTTGTTTATTTTGTGGTTAGATTTATCTAGTCAGAGAGTAGGAGGTTGAGGTCCCCCACTAGTATAGTTTTGTTGTCTATTTCTCCCTGTAACCCCCTGAACTTCTCCTCTAAGAATTTGGATGCTATACCATTTGGTGCATATATGTTTAGTAATGATATTACTTCATTGTCCATGGTGCCTTTTAGCAGGATATAGTTTCCTTCCTTATCTCTTTTGGTAAGATCTATTTTTGCTTTTGCTTTGTCTGAGATCAGGATTGCCACCCCTGCTTTTTTTACTTCAACTGAAGCATAATATATTCTGCTCCAGCCTTTTACCTTTACCCTGTGTGTGTCACTCTTTTTCAACTGTGTTTCTTGTAAACAACATGTTGTAGGATTATGGTTTTTGATCCATTCTGCTATAGGCTTCTGTTTTATGGGAGAGTTCATTCTATTCACATTCACAGTTATGATTACTATCTTTGTCTTTCTCTCCATCCTTCCCCCCCGTTTATGCTTTTCTTTCTCCTTTCTCCTTTCCCCCCCTCACTAGTGTTTTGCTTTTGACCACCACCTCCTTCAGTCCCACCTCCCTTCTATCCCCCCTCCCTTTTCTTTCCCCTTTTCCCTCCTACTGCCTATAGGGCAAGTTAGATTTCTATACCTGATTATGTTATTCCCTTCTTGAGCCAAATCTGATGAGAGTAAGGTTCAAACAATGTTTATTCTCCTCCCTTCTTTCCCTCTGATGTAACAGGTTTTTGTCTTTTCCTGTAATGTAATTTACCCTTGTCTGCCTCCTCCTTTCTCAGTACTTTACTCAGTATTTTCTTAGATCAGACTAATCCACTTACTTGGATCTATTTAACCCACTTGATTAGATTTTTTTTATCATTACATCAAAGTCAACTTATATCCACCCCCTTTATGTATACTCCCTTAACATGGTATAATAACAATACAGTTCCCAAGAGTTGCAAGTGTCATCTTCCCTTGTAGGGATGTAAACAGTTTGCCCTTATTAACAACATCTATCTTTCTGTCCCATTTACCTTTTTATGTGTCTCTTGAATATAGTGCTTGAAGATCAAATTTTCTGTTGAGCTCTGGTCTTCTTATCAGGAAGGTTTGGAAGTCCCCTATTTTGTTGAATATCCATCTCCTCCCCTGAAAAATCAAGCTCATTTTCGCTGAGTAGTTAATCCTTGGCTGCATTCCAAGCTCCTTTGCCTTATGGAATATCATGTTCCACACCCTATGGTCTTTTAATGTAGAAGCTGCAAGGTCCTGTGTAATCCTGACTGTAGTTCCATGTTATTTAAATTGTTTCTTTCTGGTTGCTTGTAGTATTTTCTCTTTAATCTGGTAATTTTGGAATTTAGCTATTATATTCCTTGGCGTTTTCAGTTTGGGTTTCTTTCAGGTGGGGAGCAGTGGATTCTTTCTATAGTTATTCTACGTTCTGGTTCTAGAACTTCAGGGCAGTTTTCCTTTATGATTTCCTGAAAGATACTGTCCAGGCCCTTTTTTTATCATGATTTTCAGGTAGGCCTATAATTTTTAAATTGTCTCTCCTGGATCAATTTTCCGGGTCAGTTGTTTTACCCATGAGGTATTTTACGTTTTCATCTATTTTTTCATTTTTTTGCTCTTGTTTGACTGATTCTTGCTCTCTCATAGAGTCATTAGTTTCCATTTGTCCAATTCTAATTTTTAACATGTTGTTTTCTTCTGTTAGATTTTGTACTTTCTTCTCCAATTGGCCAATTGTGTGTTTTAGGGACTTGTTTTCTTCAGTGTACTTTTTTTCCAATTGGCCAATCATATTTTTTAAGGACTCTTCTACCTCTCTCATTTGACTTTTAAAATCCTTCTTGAGCTCTTCTAAGAAGACTTTTTGGGCTTCGGACCAGTTCATATTCCCTTTTGATGTTGCAGATGTGGGCTTGTTGACAGTGTTGTCCTCTTCAGAATTTCTGTCTTGATCTTTATTCTTCTCATAATATGAATCTATCATACATTTCTTTTTCCTCATGGTGTTTCTTTATTCCTTGGCCTTTAATGAGATTAAACTCTCCTGCTGGGGAGCAGAGGGCACTGACCCAAGCTTTTTGTGTTGGGAGCCTAGGTCTTGGTCACTGGCTTTGTATGCTGGGGCCTCTTATGTTGGCAATTGAAGGCTGTAGGGTTCTGGCAGCTTACCTGGTGTTGGGCTGGAATCAGCAAGGCTGGGACTTTCAGGCAAATCTAGGCTGCCTGCTTTTCCTTTCCTTTAGCTTTCTTCAGCTCCTTTTCGATGGGTGCTGCAGGGTATTTATCTGCCTGGAGCCCCTTGCAGTACTGCCTCCCTTAGTTCTGCTGAGGCGCTGGGAGACTCCTTTGCTGTAGAATGCCGAGGCACCAGGATTGCCACCAGGTGTGCTAAAGTGAATTTTTCCACTATCTGGCTGGGCAACTCCTGTTCTGTACTGCTCCTTCCCCCAGGGTAAGAGGGGCCTTTCCTGTTAATCCCTCTAGCTACCTGGGCTACTGCACTGCTTCTCCCTGTCTTTCTTCTGGTTCAGCTGTTCCAGGGTTTTTTTCTGGGGTGATATTTTCTGGGTTTTCAGAGGTTGATAGGGGAGGGTGAGAGCTACTACCTTTTTACTCTGCCATCTTGGCTCCTGGAAGCGGAAGCTCCAACATTATTTAACATGGATGATGGGTTAAAAATACTATAACTTCAAAGAATTTTTCCACCCTAAATGTCTTTATCTACCTTTCAGTCAATGGTATTGAACAACATCCTCTTTAATGAATCTTTACTAAATGTTATGATGTTTGTGGTCTTTCTCAGGCCTGCATTACACTAGTGATGAACCAGAATAACAGGTTTATCTTTTTGTTGTTGGTAGTGATTTTTACGTTTACCCCTATAACACCTAATGGCTCGTTCAGCCTGATTTCAATTGTTGAACAAGTTCTGTTTTCCCAGATCCCATATTTGATCATAAGCAATGATGGCAATACATTTTGTGAGTATTGCCTTTTATCTATATGCCTCACATTTGATCAGATTCCATATAAGAGAAAATCACAGATGCGAAGGAATAAATATCCTTAGGACAGCTATGTGGCGCAGTGGATAGAGTGCCAGACCTGGAGTCAGAAAGACTCCTTTTCCTGAGTTCAAATCCAGCCTCAGACACTTACTAGCTGTGTGGTCCTGGGCAAGTCACTTAACCCCACTTGACCCAGTTTCTTCATCTGTAAAATGATTTGGAGAAGGAAATGGCAAACCACTCCAGTATCTTTGCCAAGAAAAGCCCAAATGGGGTCACGAAGAATCGAACACGGCTGAAAACGACTGAACAACAACAAATACCCTTCGCTTAACTCCAATTTTTTTTTATTCTCTATGCCACTTCTGCTGGTTGTCCCCAGTGTTAAATGCTCACAATCTTAGCATTAGGGAATGTATTCACTTTTTTTTGCCCTTTCTAGATTGAGAAATATGAGATTCCTATCTCCCTTAGTTAACAGGGTTGAGGCTGATATTTCCAAAATAATTTTTACCAGATAACTCGGGGAAAGAAAATAAATGCAATGTATGATGAATGCATTTATAGAGTATAGGTGATTAATGATAGAGAAGGGATTAAATGAAGCCTCAGCAAGAAACAGTTTGGATTCAAGAATAACTGGCAGATTAAGGAAAGCTATAAGGACTTTTCTTCTATTTTCTGCCATGTCTTGCTTACTTGGTAGGAAATATAAGATTATAAGGATTATTGGTCATCTGAGACGTGGGTGAACTATCCTAATGAAGGGAGAGCTGCTTTTGTAGTAGAGGAGAAAGAAGCCTGGGAAAAGTGTGAAAATGAAGATAAATAAAACTACTATTAAGAGATAAAAGGAAGTTGAGATCCAGAGAGGCAGCGGAAATGCTCAATGTGGGTCGGTACATGGCAGACTCATGGAGAATTTTGAACCCGAGTAAACTATTGCCTGGGCATCTACCCTGCAAATTGGTAGAGGTGGGGAATGCCTGTCCTTACATAAAGGCATGACAATCATCAACATGGAGATAACTGAACCCATTGTTAATGTTGAAGTGTTTGCATGGTTTTCCTATTCAGGACTTCTATCTTTATTCTCCCTTTCCTTACCTACCATGTGTCATGATGCCTCATGCCCTAGGTGACCCTTGTCTCTCTGAAGATCTTCATATGAAACACAACTCAGTAGGGAGATCAGAAGGCCAGTTCACTTCATACTGGTGTATACTGCATAGGGGGAGCGGTGATGCTTCACAATCCTGACCAGCCCAACCTCCCCTCCCGGTGCCCTGTCCCCCGACTTTCTATACTTGTGCTGCTATCAGTGTCAAGCCAATTAGGCAAGGAAATTCAGCTACTCAAGATCTTAGCCACATTCATCCTCTCGAGCCACTTCTCTTGTGCCAACTCCTAAATGCACTGTCATGGCACCTATGCACCACATTTACAGTCATCAAACTCGACTCTCCCACTATGAGCTCATGTAAACTATAAGCCCAGAATATCCTCTTCCTCTAGGCTTTTGTTCTACTTCCCCGCACACAGCTCCCAGACACAGTCTGTGCTGTTAGAGAAGCAAGAAGGAAGAGGGGTCTACCCACTGTAGTGGCAACAAAAAGAGTCTCTGTCAAATGATTTTATGCAAGGGATGCTGCTAGGTCAACTATTATTATCTCACAGATAACTATTAGAGAAAATACAAGTTTTAAGCTCAGGCCTATACAATAAGTATCAATCAATACACATTTATTAAGTGTCTACTGTGTGTCCGATACCATGCTGAGTGCTAGGGGACACAAAAAGAAGCAAAAGAAAAACCCTGCCCTGAAGGAGCTTGCTATTTAATTACTATCTAATTACAATCTAATAAATACTGGTGGAATTATCCTTATTACCTTGTCTATTTCAGAACCTTCAGTTCTATTAATTACTCCTTTTGATTCTAAGCTCCTAAGAATCTCTGAAGCCATATTGAGCATAGTGTTAATTTCCTCCTTGGTTTTCATAGTGATGGCAATCTCTGGATGATCATACTCTAAATAGCCTGAAAAGAAACAGATAATGTTTCCATTGTATCATCAGTCAATGCGTTAAAGCCCAAGTCTTTGCTGTAAAATTCTACAGGTGTACGTGAGAAGGAGAATAACATGTGTCTCTTTTAGAACCGGGACCGGAGTGAGGGAGGTGGGTGACAGGGGTTGGCATTGTTCTCTGCTTCTGTCACAAATATTAACAGAGGCCTATTGGAGTCATCCTTGCTGGCTCCTGTTTATTCATATAAAGGATGGTGAAAGTCAGGTCAACAGGAAAACAGCCCTATCTCATGATCTGTCATCACAACCTATTTGTGCTGTTGTATGGAGCCATTGAGACTCTACTCTCTGATTCTTCCTCTGTGTCTAGTTTGTACCCTGCACCCGAATTCTTCCTTGGATACTTGTACTCTGATTTTTCCAGGTCTTCTGGCTTGGTCTAGACTTCCAAACACTAATCCATTTTAAATACTTGGATTATAATCCAATCTATCCTGATCTGAATCTTTGAAAACCAACCCATGTTTTCTATGCTTAGATGATGCTCCTACTTGTATTCTCCTACTTAGTTTGGATCTCTGGCTACTTTATATAATAGAGTCTATCTCCTCAGACACGGCACCTATCCAGACTCTGATCCCACCTTCTTCTTTCTAGGTTTACAGTGTCTGCACATTCTCTTCTATATCAACTGATTCCCCCAATTACAAGCTCATACCTCTCCTCCCTCCCCCACTGGCCTGATCTTAATCCTAGTTTCCCAGTTTTGGCCTCACCCAGCCTTCTCTTTCCCCCTAAGACCCATGATTGGGCATTGACACACATCATGGTGCTTTGGTGTGTGAGTTTTACTAAATTCAGTACACAAAATACCTACAAGGTTCAAGGCATTGTGGTAGGTACCAAGAACACAAAGATAGATGCTGTTTTTACTACCTCCTTCTAATCTTCTATGATGACATTAATTGGACTAAGGGTAAGTCATTTGATCAGGAATGTCCTGATCAATTCTTCCTCTACCACATAAAAAACAGGTAATGGAATTGACTTGACTTCATGGGTTGCCCTGGTAAAAAGACTTCATCACCTACTGGCCAGACTACAGGGGATATGCTTCTTTGTTCTCAGGTGGGTTGGTCCTTGAATGGCAGATTCAAGCAGTCACTCGGACTGTACCCAGAGGCTTTCTAGCAGAGTTTATGCTTCTCTGGCATAGTCTTTGAGAGCAGAGTACCTGGGTTCATGTCTTGCCTCTGACTAGCTCGCTACAAGCCTTTTAAACTTCCTGGGCTTCAGGTTCCTCACCTATAACATTAGGGGGTTGAATGGATGACTTCTGAGGTCCCTTCTAACTCTCAGCCTGTGCTCCTGAAATCTTATGAAAAAAATGGTAAGATACCCAGCCTGTAATTAAGATAATGGCAGAGAAAGAGCCTGAAAAAAAAAAAGAGTACTAGAAAATTCATTAATTACATTGCTATTTATTTAAAAATCATAGATGAGTGAGATTTTGTAATTGGAAGGGACCTTACAAGTGTCCTAGTAATATGTTAGAAGCAGCATATTACAATCTAAAGAATGCTGGATTTAAAATCAGAATACTTAGCAATGTCAGGGTTCCATCATTTAGTATCTAGGGACCTTTGCCAAATCATGTTACTCTCTCAGTCCCTTAAGTTCTTCATCTGAAAAAAAAAAAGTCTACTACTGTTGATTCTAGAATAGCTGCTTATTTGAAAAGTAATTGTAGTTAGAATAATGTCATATAAACAAAGAAAAGGCTAAAAACTTTAGAGACTGAAACTTTTTCTATAACTGTGATTCTCTTCAGGGGAAAAAATCTATATCCCTAAATATGTCCCAGACAGAATTTGAATTTATTGTGGAACTCATACTATCTCTGAACCTGTTGAAACCCAAGGCTCTGAAATGTGCTTATAATACACTAACCACATATCGAGGGTAAAACGTGCCCTTGTATTACCTACCTAGCTCTTTCATAGCATTTTCTGCATTCTTGGACACACGATTACGTAATACCTATCAAACAAAAATTGTAAAAATTCACAACCTATGTATATAACTGCAAGCAAAACTCAGTACAGGATGACGTGGCTTTTTAGGCCTAAGCTGCCTTGTGGGTATGTTTAATCTATCATGTTTAATATATACTTTGGGCTGGAGAATTTGAAAAGGGACAATGATATTTACTAGGGACATTTCCAAGAGGCTCAAAGGAGAACTAGGTATTCTCCTGGTGGTTTGTGGGGTAAATAACTACACTTTGCTCTTTGTTGAGTGGGTAAAGGTGCTACTATTGACCTTGGCAACTCTTCAGTGGATAGAGTGTTAGAAAACTTGGGTTTGAATCTCATCTTAGATACCAACTGTGTGACCCTGGAAAATTCATTTAGGCTTTCTAAACCACAGTTTTTTTTAATCTGTAAAATAGGAATAATAATAGTACATATTTCACAATGTTGTGAGAATCAAATGAGATAATGTATGTAAAAGGCTTTGTAAACCATAAGGCGCTATACAAATATAAGCCATCAAAATATTTATTTGTAGCGTAGCGGGAAGCATGATGGACTGGGAGTCAGAAAGCTCAGATTCTGTTTTTTGCTTTTTTTTTCTCTAGTGCTAAGCTGCTAGTTAATCTTGGACAAGTTACTTCATCTCTCTGGGTCTTTTCTATAAAATAAAGTAGTTAGACTATGTGAACTCTAGGGTACCTTGCAGATCTATGATAGATTCCCTCCCCCTATTTTCAATGGGCCAGCTCACTTACCTGCCTTTCTTTGTTTAGTTTGTCTGAAAAAAAAAAAGGAAGGAAGAAGATGGAAAGGGACTTAAGCACTGAGGAACAAGGCTGAAGCTCTGTGTAGGCTGCAACTTCTGTTATTTCTCCCCCTTCTTCCTTTCTCTTGTTTAATACAGAGATACGTCAACACGGTGGGGAAGCCCGAGTCCAGGGGAAAAGGGAAGGAATCAGTGCCTTCAACACAGCGCAGTTCAATTCAATTCAACTGAACCAACTTTATAGATTGTTTTATTCCATACCATGCACTGAACCAGGTAAGCAAAGACAGGATTTAAAAAGTCAGCGCCCACAGAGGTCTGGGGGGATACAACATATAAACATGAGGGTGTGACAAAAGAAAGACATCTCAAGAGGGAGAGAATGTTGACAGCTTGGTATTGTGAATGGAGGAAAGAGGAAATAAAGGCATTAAACACAACAGGAAATGCTGCCTGCCTGTAGGCATCGGATCTGTATTTGAATTGATTCTAAGGGGCAAAAATGAGGAGGCGATACATTCTAGAAATGGGAAATGAAAAGACCCAGAGGTAGAGCACAGAATACAACGGACAAGGAACAGTTAGCAGGGCCGGTTCTACTTAAATTTTGAGCACATGAGTGAGAGTAAGATAAAATTAGTTTAAAAAGACAGGTGAGAACCATGTCGTGAAAGGCTGAGAAGTTTAGATTTTATGTTAAAGGCAAGAGGAAGCCATTCCTAATGAATTGGGGGATTATATATTCAGCTTGGTACATTAGGAAATTTAGTTTGGCAGCCATGTGGAGGATGGTTTGAGGAGAGACTGGCAACCAACGATTCAATTACAAGGCTGTGCTAGAGGTATTGACAGCCCAGTGTGTGTGTGTGTGTGTGTGTGTGTGTATGATGGGCGGGTGGGGAGATGGATGTGAGAGATATTATGGAAATAGAATTGACAAGACAAGAATTTGAATGAATAAATAATAATGATTTTGTTGTCCACTGTTTTTCCATTGTGTTAGACTCTTTGTGACCCCGTTTGGGGTTTTCTTGGCAAAGACACTGGTTTGCCATTTCCTTCTCCAACTCATTTTACAGATGAGGAAACTGAGTCAAACAGAGTTAATGACTTGCCTAGGGTCACACAGCTAGTAAGTATCTGAGGCTGGAATTGAATTCAGGAAGATGAGTCTTCCTGACTCCGGGGTTTGAGGTGCTATCCACTGAGCCACCTAGCTGTCCAAATGATAAGAATAGTGGAATTAAATAAGTATACACCAAACAATCTATTTTCTTGTAGTGTGGTTTTGAAACCTCAAGTCTATGGGGAGAGGGTAACTTGGTAACAAATAAAAGAACCACTGCTTTTATATTATCTAATATCATAATAGCAGTCTTGGAAACATTGGATTTATTGTGTTAACATCTATCAACATAAGTCTAAGAATGAAAAGGGAAGAAATAAATCAAATATAATTTTAACTTTTTATTGTTTCTCTCACCTGAGCAGCTGATTTACAACTAGCAATCTGGTCAATAACACATGCTATATCTGCTTCACCTTGTACATATCCTTTTAAGATGGCATATCTAAAGGACAATTGATGGCTCATTGTCTTATCCATTAACTGAAGTAACATTGGCGTTATGAGCTGGAAATAAGGATAAATAATATTTAATACAGAAATCTATTTAACCTAAAAGATAATTAAACTGACACTGACAAAATGAAACATTTTTAAAAGTTAGCAGAGTTCTCAAGTTATCTGGGGGGTTATATGTAAATATTAAAAAGGAATTTTAAAACAGGGTTTCTACACAGAGTACATTTACAGAGTAGAATGCTGTCTGAAAAATAAATTAACATTACTTACAAACAAATGTCAGAAACAAAATGGTGTGAAACTCACCATCAAAGAGAGAGTCAAGGCTTCCTAATATACCATTAACCTTAACATTATTATCAGTGAATAAGGGAGATGATTTCCATGAATCATTCCTTTCCAAACTGGACTATGAACACCTACCACCCACTAAGCTATTCATCCTGAAGCTTCTCTGGATCTCTGGAATTCACACAGTGGAAGTGTCCTCCTCTCTTGCCAGTGCTCCCTCTGATTGGCTCCATCTAAGGAGTGCCCAGGAGAATAGTATTTCATTCTTCTCTAGGCTGTACTCCAGACTTCATCTATCATGCCTTTCCAATGGGCACCTTTTCCAGCTTTCCCTTCTCCCCCACTTTTTTCAGTGTCTTTTAATATGTTGTCTTTCCCCATTAGAATTTCAACTCTTTGAAGGCACGCAAGAAAGAAAGAAATATGTATTAGGTGCCTACTATATGCCCTGCACTGTGCAAAGCATTTCATTAATATTATCTCATTTAATGATAACATGTATTATAATATAATGTGAAGATGTATATATGTATATATATATATATATTATCACAACAACTCTGGGAGATGGGTACTATTTTTATCTCCATTTTATAGTTGAGGAAGCTGAGGCATACAGAAATTAAATGACTTGATCAGGGTTATACAGCTAGTGAGTGTTGAAGGCCAGATTTATACTCAGATCTTCCTGACTCCAGGCCCATATTCACTATGTCACAAGGACTATCCTTTTTTTTACCTGTATTTGTATTTCCAGTGCTTGGCACAATGCTAGGTACATTGCAAGCACTTAATAAATGCTTGTTGACTGACAAAATATAACACTACATTAAACTACATTAGCTGGAACAGTCAGAAAAAAGCCTATATTTAATATTCCAGATCCATAATGATGTGATTTGATAAATATTTACCTTTATGATGCGAAATAAACGAAGAAACCTCACAACTTTTATAAAAATCATAATTTTACTCAAATGGTCGGAAATTTCATTTTTTCTTTCAAATATTATTTCTCCAACGAGGTCAATCAATGTTATTGCTAACTCACATATGTTCCAACTATGTAAGAAAAATCTCTTCCTCATTGCTGTTATCTGTTTGAGCAAAAATTCATATATTTAGCAGTTGAGATTTGACAGCTGACTGACCACAAGAAAAGAAAAAGCTACAGACAGATTTTTCACTGAACAACAGTAAATATCGCACGTTTGTCCTATAGCCCAAATACACACATGGTCAGTAGGGAGAAGAGACATCAGAGAGAAGAAATGAAGGAATGATGGAAAGCACAGCTATTTACCAACCAATAGCCTTGCGTCTTTGAAGGATCCTTTCCTTAGAGACAGTTACTGATATTCATACTGATATTCATTATTATAGTTACTGATGTTCATTATTATAGGCTCAAGTCATTTAGAAATTGTGGTCTTGCACAATATGCTCTATTTGTGAAGTCAGGTAACTGTGTAATGTGTGTGTGGTTTTTAATTTCATTAAAATGGTTCATTTGTAGGTGTGATATATACAAATTTTGTCTACTTAGAACACCACATCCCAAGAAGATGTGAGATTATAAGATATGTTAGACCTTGATAATTTAATTAAAAGTCACTCTCACAAGGAATTGGCCATATAATTACATCAAACCTTTGCTTCATCTCTATTGGTGGGGGTGGGGATGGGGGTGGGGTAGGGTTAGAGGTAGAGGTAAAAGGGTCTATATCTGGGATTTTATCAGTGTAGGGAACTTCTTTCTTTCCACCAATGTAGATCTAGAACTCTTCCATGAGTTAAGAGTCTTAGAGAGTTTCCTGGGGGCACTGATAGGTTAAGTGACTTGTTCGTGGTCACTTAACTAGCATGTACCCAGAGTAGAACTTAAACCCTGGTCTTCCTGATGCCAAGTCAGGCCTTCTAACCACTAAGTCATATTGCCTCACTCTTGCACTCACACATACAGCTGTCTAAGGTGACAGACACATAGAGTGCTTGCTTCTTGCTCATGTCTAAACAACTGAAACAAAGTAGAGGATTATACTGGCATATCTGCAGCTTTCTTGGATGGATTTCTACATGTGAATTATTCTAACAAGACAGCTGAAGGAAGCAGATAATTATAAACTGTTCTATTTCATACTAGCCATGTCATCATTGTTTAGTGCTGTTTCTCTATCTATTCTCCTTTAGAATCTACAAATATGCGTTCCTTCAATCAGGGTTCTCAATTTAGGCTTATTCTAATCATGACTTAAAATTGATATCAGAGCCTTTCATATTTGTATATATCTGCAAAGACCCTACAGACATTTTCAGGCAATTTTTCATGTGCAAGAGCTATTTTTATAACTATTAAGTTTTCTATTTCTGGACTATTCTGTTTCTTCTCACCTATCATGGGATTGAGTACTGCTATAGAAAATCTATACTTGTCCATTAGTCAATTTAGAAAATGTTGACTTAGAATTTCTGGCAAGAGGAAAAACTTACTTCTAACACTATATGTATATATATATATATATATATATATATGACAAAATGCTCTTTTTCTTACAAGCCACACACTCTGTTACTACATATATGCCTGGCTTAGGATAGTAAGGTTTAATTTGAATTTTCAAATGGTCTTGGACCAAAAGCTAGGAAAGTCTTTCTTCCATTTTTATCCAAGTTATCATGGAGACTTCCTTGCCAAATGAATATTTAGCAGACATAGAATCCTAATCAAATGTGAAATAAATTTTGGATGGAACATATTTTGTGGATGAAACAGAAAAAGATTTGGAAAATTTGGGACCCAAGTTTTCTTAAGCAACTTTTCAATTCAATTCAACTTAGTACTTTCTCTAAAATGGAAAAGGCTTCATCGTTGTCAGCCACAAGTACTGTTTACTGGTTTTTGCTGCATTCTTCCCTTCTCTTGAGAAGATGTAAAGGATATATGGCACTCTGAGATAAAATATACACTACACGTGCATCTAAAATGGATATGTTGATTTTGTAATTAAAATTATTTTAGAATGTCACAAGTATCCTAAGAAAGAACATGTTCCAACTGTATGCTATTATAGACTTATAGAGCTAGAAGGAGATTAGAAATAACTAATTTAAACCTCTCATTTTACAGATGAGGAAACTGAAGCCAGCAAGCCCAAGGAACTTGCCCAGGATCAAATTGGTGGTCTGTGATAGAGCCAGGAATAGAACACAGGCATCCTAATGCAAATTTCAGTACATTTTAAAGTTGACGAAATTTAGTTTTCTTTCTTCTTCTTTTTTTTTTTTTTTAGTAATAACTCAATACAGATTTACATTTATGTACTTATTTTAAAACTTCTTCATCCTTTTCTTCTAGGTAAATGATTATCCAAATAATATGTCTTCAGCTTATAAAATAACCTTGGAAGATTATATTTATTGGTGGTTTGGTTTCAAATGTATGCTTCCATTATCTTTGTACCATAATAATAACTAAATACTTCTAGAGATTCATTATTTCCTTGGTATGGGTACTCTGCCCATCAATATAGATGACAACCCCTCTATACCTTAGTGGATGTATTCATGAGTTGCGGTAGCCATAAACACATTATTTGGTGGTTAACCTTACGCCTAGCCTTTCTGAGTTCACTGGCTAGTCCTCAAATGATAGTTGAACATTGATATTCAAATCCTTTCCAATTTGGTAGGATCTGCCAAAACTTTTGCTTTGCTGGAATTGCCTTTGAGAATCCAGCATCACATTTAAATCTTGATAAGGCATTGGAGTAGGATCTTTAGAGAGGACTTCGTTGATCCTCTACTACATGTTGGAAAGAGTCCTGGACTTGGAATTATAGTGTATGGGTTCAAATCCCAGTTCTTTTGCTTATTAGCTGTGTGACTTTTGAAATATCTCTTCCCTTGTCTGGGCTACAGACATTCCCTCTGCAAAATGAAGGGTTTGGCCTGGATAATTCACCAAGGACCCTTTCAAGGTCTAGATCTATGATCTTATGACTTCAATTATAATAATAATGATTATGACCGTATCTTGCAATTGCAAAATACTTTTCAGTTTATTAATCAATCAACAAGCCTTTATTAGGCACTGTGCTAGGTGCTAGAAGTGCTTATATATATATATATATTATTTTTTTTGATCTTCAGAACAGCTCTACGAAGTAGGTGGGATACTTTTTTTTTTTTTTTGCCTAAGCTCACAAAGCTAGTAATTAATAAATCGGGAACTAGAGATAAAGTCTTCTGCCTCTAACTCAGGTATTGTTGTTTCTGCTAGTCTGAACAGTTTCTCCTACACCACATGTTTTCAATTTTCCTGTAACACTTCAAACTGCATTTATATTTCCCAAACGACAGATGTAATTCACTATCTTTAATGTCTAGCTTTTTAGCCTCAGTCTCATAAGACAAGAGTTGAAATATGATCACATTTCTAGTTGCGTTTGTAAATGTCTAAACATTTACTCTGCACTGAAGTGTATAAATCAACATTAATTTTGTACTGATAATTGAGGAAGAATTTTTGACATCCCTTCAGGTCGCTAGTGATACCTAAGTGGTATGACAAAACCAAGTTTGGGAATTATTTCTTTAAACACAACACATCTAAAATCACACACACACACACACACACACACACACACACACGAACACACATATAGATGGGCAATAGATGATTATTACCTTAAATATGGCCTCCAGTATGTAAAACAAAATGAATGTATGATTTATGACTTTGACTTCCTTGTCATAGATCACGTTTAATTGTGGTAACAAAGAAATTACAAGAGGAACCATACTCAATATGATCACAAGATATCCAGTGAATTCAAATTCGTCACTAAACACGATCTTATGACAAAATACAAGAATTGGCATTCTGTTTAAAATAAAGTTTACAGAAGAAAAATTATAGCATTATTATATACTTAAGCTCTTTGTCAGACCTGTTAGGACCCATCAGAGAAACTAGGTCCTCATTGCCATTATCAGCACCTATATAATCCTACTTTTATGCTAGAAAATAGCCTAGACTTTCCAGCTGTTATCTGACCATATCAAAAGAAAAGCTTAAAATGAAGACTAAAAACCTTTATTCCAGCATCAAAAGTTGCATCCCAATTGTGCTGTTGTGTGGACACACATACATGCTCTTGATCTTGAGCTGCAGTTCCAGGAACCTGCTCTAAGATCCATTTCCCTCCTAGTTTCCTTGTGTATGACTTGGACCCTCACTTGTGCCCAGAAGTTCTGCCCATACTTTTCATTTCTTGTATTTTTTGGAATGTTTGAATACTGTTCATATTCAGGTTGGACTTCTGATTAGAAACAATTTTACCGCAAGTTCCCATTTTGACCTGACTCACTAGACTTTAACTTTGCTATTAAATAACCCTCATGGTAAATTTATTCTACCGGCCTCACTCAGGAGAGAACCTTGCCTTATATTTCACTGAGAAAAAGAGAAGCCATTTGCTGAGACCTTCCTCTTCTCCTCATCTCCCATCACTCACATGCCTTCTGCCACTGTCTCCTCCTTCACCCTTTTCTCACAAGGGAATGGCTCTTTTCCTTACCAAATCAAGTGATCCCTTTCTATCCCATCTTTTCCAACAGATTGCCCACTCTATCATCTCCACTCTCCCTGTCTGCTGGCTGCTTCTCCCCTGCCCACACACATTCGTATCTTCCCCACCCTTGACCCATCTATCCTCACTAGCTCTTTTCCCATATCTTTCCTCCTTTTTGTGGCTAAACTCCTAAGAAAGTCACCTACAATATATGTCTCCAATTCTTTCCTTTAACTCTCTTCTTAACTCTACAGTCTGACTTCCAACCTCATCATTCAACTGAAACAGCTCTCTTACAACGTTAACAAATTCTTAATTGCCAGTTTTAATTGCCTTTTCTTACTCTTCATCATCTTTGACTTCTCTGCAACCTTTAACACCATTGATCATCCTCTTTTCATTGATACTCTCTTCTCTCTCAGTTTCTGTGACGCTACTCTAGCTCGATTCTTCTCCTACTCCTCTGAGCACTCCTCAGTCTCCTGTGTTCAGTCTTCATATAGGTCATGCCCACTAACTGTGGCTATTCCCCAGGGATCTGTCCTCTAAGATATGTGTATATACATATATGTAATATTTTTATATTATGTGTTTATAATTACATATTACATGTATTATATATTTCATCTGGTGGTCAGCTCGCATGGATTCAATTGCCATCTCTATACAAATGATTCCCAACCTACTTATCTAGCCTTAACCTCCGGACTTATATTTTTAATTGCCTTTTGGACATCTTAAACTCAAAACGTCTAAAATCGAACTTATTATCCTTTTCTCCAAAACCTTTCTCCTTCTAAACTTTCCTTCCAGTCATCCATCCAACTTATACCTAGTTGTCATCCTCAACTCCTCACTTACCACTCATATACAAGCTGTTGCCAGGTCTTGTCCACTTCACCTCAACATCTCTGATTATGCCCCCTTTTCTCCTCCGACACTGCCACCGGCCTGGCCTGGGATCTCACTACTTCATGCTTGGACTTACTGCAATAACCTGCTGGTTGGTCTTCTTGCCTCAAATCTTTCTCCCATTCCAGTCCATCTTCCACTTAACTATCAAATTGATCTTCGTAAAGAGCAGGTCTGACCATATCAACCCACTACTCAATAACCTATATCAAATCTATAAAAGGATCAGATCTAAAAAATCCTCTGTTTGGCATTTCATACCCTTCCTAACCTGACCGCCTTCCAACTTTTCCAGTCTTTTTATACCTTACCCACCCCAACATTTTTAGAGATCTGAACTCCTTGCTTTTCCTCACTTAAGATAATTCATTTCCCTTTCTCTGTGAATTTTCACTTGCTGTCCTCCATGCCTGGAATTCTCTCCCTCCTCATGTATATCTCCTGGCTTGTGTGGCTTCCTTGAGTCCTAGCTAAAGTTCCAATCTCTTCAAGAAACTTTTCCTAATCTCCCCTAATGCCTTCCCTCTGTTGATAATCTCCAATTTATTCTGTATATAGCTTGTTTCTACAAAGTCATTTGCATGTTGTATCCTCTATTGGACTGTGAGCTCAAGAGCAAGGGCTGTTTTTTGCTTTTCTTTCCCCAGTGATTAGCCCAGTGCCAGGAGACACTTCATAAATACTTATTGACTGGCTGATGCTTGCCCTTCTGCTCTACCTGCAAGCTAGTGTTAACACATTTACATTACAAACCAAATAACATCTTTATTCCATAATCATCTTAGATCACAGGTTCTTAGTTTTGTTTTTGTTTATGGACCCTTTGGAGGTCTGAGGAAGCCCATTGACCCCTCAGAATAATATTTTTAAATGTATAAAATAAAACATGTAGGATTACAAAGGAAATACATTATAGTGAAATATATTATCAAAATTGTTTTAAGTCCGCAGGTCCTAGGCTATGAATACTTACCTTGGAATAAAAGCAAAGAATGTAATAATATATTTCGTAGTAAATTTTTTGATAAAATTTTTCTTAAAGGTTGATGGATTAACATGCCAAATGAATAAAGAAAAAAAGTATATTGTTTATGTAACCTCATAAATGAAAAATAAAAAATGGTATTCATTAGCTTAATATTTTAGACTTAGCCTGTAGCTATATTTCATCATTCACAAATACCAAGGAGTGACTTCTAGCCATCCTTCTGTAGCTTATTTATTCATTTTTAATTTTTAAGAGAGAGCTTTCAGGAAACAATTTAGTGAAAAAAATAAACTAAGAGCTAGAGTTCTGTTTCCAGTACTAACTGAAGCAATTATTAAAAATTTGGGGAGCAAAGTAGTCAAGTTTACAAAAACTTTTAGCTTATTTCCATTTCAGAGAGGCAGCATGAAAGAATTTAGGATTTGGAGCCCAAAAAACTGAGTTTGAATTTGAGTGCAATAGTTACTCTCTGCGTAACCATAGTTACTGTCTGGGTTACTTGCATGATCTAACTCCTGGGGCGGCTACAAGAAAAGTACTTTGTCAACTCTAGTGCACTGTAGAAATAAGTAATCATTAAAAACATGGCTATCTTTAATAATTACTATTCTATGTTACTACACAGTAAATAAGGAATTAAACCTTGGAAACTTGGAAAAGTTTGCATAAATGTAATTACATTTAAATTAGAGTTGTATGGTACTCACTTTGGGGGCACTCCTTTCTCTTTTTTAGTGTTATAAACCAAATTTAGTAATATTTTCCTGAAGATATTAAAAATTTTCTTTTCTTCAGCATAGGCCTGTATTGTCTGAAAACTCATAAATCTGAAATGAAAAAAAAAAGAAAGATAAGAAATTCAAATGTATTCCTGGGATATTTTGACTTCAAGTTCATCAGAAAGCAAGCCTTATTTCCTGGCTAGACAGATCACATTAAATGAGCTGTAGTGACTGTTGTCATGTTGTTCGTCAGGAGGAAAATGGCTGAAAAAAATGGCCTAAATCTTTTAGTGGACAAAGACCAGTTTTGTAGAGCCTTTATCAAGCTTGTGGGTCACACTGCACCATAACAAGGCATGAGCACTCACTCTGAGAAGATGAAAAACTCCTGACTTGGTCAAATCCAAAGAACCTCAATGATATAAGGGGCTACAATGGAGGAATCTGCTTTGCTTGACTATGCATATAAGTTAAAAGGGCTTTGTTTTTCTTTTGCAAGGTAAAGGCGGAATAAGGGTAGACTAAGGTAAGGAAGAAAGAAGGAGAGAGAGAGAGAGAGAGGAAAGGGAGGGAGGGAGGAAGGAAGGAAGAAAGGAAGAAAGAAAGAAAGAAAGAAAGAAAGAAAGAAAGAAAGAAAGAAAGAAAGAAAGAAAGAGAAAGAAAGAGAAAGGAAGGAAGGAAGAGAGAGGGAGAGTGAGAGAGAAGGGGAATAGAGAGAGAGAAAGGAAAGAAGGAAGGAAGGGTCACTGAGGCATCTTTTTTTATTTTTAACAACGCAGAAAAGAGAACTGAAAGAAGTATAGACAAGCACGGCACCTTTGAAAGTTGTAGGCCCAACTCACATACTTTAGAAGAAAGAAAACTATATAAAACAGTGATCTACAATTTCATATAGGGCAGCTAGGTGGTTGGGCATTGGGCTTGGAATTAGGAAGACTCATCTTCCTGAGTTCAAATCTGATCTCAGACACTTACTAGCTATGTGAGCCTGGTGAAGTCACTTAACCTTCTTTGCCTCAGTTCCTTCATCCGTAAAATGAGCTAGAGAAGGAAATGGCAAACCCTTGCAGTATCTTTGCCAAGAAAACCCCAAAATGGTATCATTAAGAGTCAGACAGGACTGGAAGGACTGAACAACAAGTTTCATGTACAATTTACTTTCTCATTATAGGTGGAAATGCCTGTTTTATTTAGTGTTTATTAAGTTCAGAATAGAAAAATAGGAAAAAAAAATCTAAGGGTATCATTGGAGGGATTTTCCTCATCAGTGAAATAACAGATTTATTACAAATATCTCCATCTACCCATCCACCACCCTAATTCAGGACCTCATTACTTGTTATTTGGATATCATCTCTTGCTATATAGTTTTTAACTGGTTTCCCTGCTTTCAGCTGCTGTCTCCAATTGAACTTTCACACAGCTAGCAAATCAATTTTCTCAAGTTTGACCATGTCACTCCCCTACAAAATTAATACATGAACACACACACACACACACACACACACACACACACACAAAATCTACTTAACATAACATCTGTTCACACAGTCTGAATCCTAGCCAAACTAGCCTACTAGCTATTTCCCATTCATTAAATAACTTTCTATGTCTCTACTCCATGGAATTAGATTGTTCCCCACTCCCCACCCCACCCCCAGAATAAGACCATCACTTCTAATCTCATCACCATGGTGCTAACTAAAGCCTTGATTAACACCACCTCTCTCAGCCTCCTCTCACCTCTGTTTGCAGGGCTGGAGGGTGAAAAGGTCATGGTCTCCCACAGTATCCAGGGCCATCTCCAGTCATCCTGATCTATATCTTGCCACTGGACCCAGATGGCTCCAGAGGAGCAAGTGAGGCTGGTGACATTACACAGCCCTCTCTCACTTAAATCCAATTCATTGCAAGTCATGGCATCACCTTCCTGACTGCCATGGCTCTCTTCGAGAATGAAGGACAAACAGCAACCTGTGGGTAACATGAGCTGCCTGACTGGGGACTGATCCTCCTCTCCCTGCCTCTCCTTGCTTCTCTTTTCCTCCTTCCTCTTCCTCTATCCTCATAAGGTAACATACCCTTACCTGCTCTGCCCAAAGGAATGTAAATTTTGACTGCTGAAAACTGACAAGCTATCTTTGGGTTTACAGGCTTAGATTTCTTTTTTTTTTCTTTTTCTTTTTTTTAGGCAATTGAGGTTAAGTGACTTGCCCACGGTCATACAGCTAGTAAGCGGCCAGTGTTTGGTCTGAGGCCGGATTTGAACTCAGGTCCTCCTGACTTCAGGGCCGGTGCTCTATCCACTGTGCCACCTAACTGCCCCTTTAGATTTCTTTCTTAAGGACCATACCTTAAACCCAATTCACTCTGCGTCTCATTGATTGGCATAGATTGCAACCCAAACTCCCTGGCCCCCTCTCCCCCAAGTGGTGATTGTTTGGGCTCTGATTGGCCCAAATGTAAATAGTGTTCTCCCTTTGAGAAAGAAGGACAAAGAACAACAACAACCTCCTTTTATGTGTTGTCTCCCCAATCTACATTTGATTGTGAGCTTCTTGAGGGCAAGAACTGGATTTCTTTTTATTAATTGTATTTCCAGTATTTAGCACAGTGCCTGGCACATAGTAGGCCCTTTGTTGTCATTCATTTGTTTTTCAGTCATGGCCAACTCTTCATGACCCCATTTGGGGTTTTATTGGCAAAGATACTGGAGTGGTCTTGCCATTTCCTTCTCCAGCTCATTTTACAGATGAGGAAACTAAGACAAATAGGGTTAAGTGACATGCCCAGGGTCACACAGCTAGTAAATGTCTGAGGCCAGATTTGTACTCAAGAAGATGAGTCTTCCTGACTCCAGGCCTGCCACTCTATCCCTTGGGCCACCTAGTTGCCACAGTAGGCCCTTAATCAATGTTTATTGGATTTATTGGATTGGATTGCCCTAATAGGATGTCATTCATAAGAGTAAGGGCTATTTTTTTTGTCTTTGTATCACCAGTACCTAAGATAGTCCCTTGAATGTAGTTGACTCTTAAGAAATATTTGTTGAATAAATGAATGAAAGCATTAAATAGGCACTTACTCTCCCTTTTTATCGCCAAAACTCCCTGCAGCGCCTACCAAGACTTTGACTGCACTTTGGGACAAAATCTCACTTGTGTATTGCCTTTCATAGCTTGCCTTTAAAGAAATAATGAAATTAATTATAATAGGGAAGGGTAATAAGATGTCATACTGTCCTTTTCTCTAGGGAGAATAATTTTGTATGCAGAAATAATAAGTGCTGAAACACTTTTTTTTTGCTACATTTTAGCCTTCATATAGAATTCAATCTGTGAGATCATATAGATTGAACACCTTGATCATGCATGTATGCTAGTAACTTAGCTTATTTTCTACAAGCATGCTTCCCCAACATCCACTGTCAGTGACTGTGTGACACATGAAAAAGCGTGTGGAATGGAATATTAGAAAGAAAATGACAACAACCACTAGATACAGCACTAGAGAATAATAAATGAAGAAAAAGGACCAAAAGCCTTCTCCCTGTTAGTGGTTTTTCCCTTTTTAAATTATCATGTATATATTTATCTGTTTCCATGTGCCATTCTTACCCCACCCCCAACAATAAAATGTAAACTCATTGAGGGAAGGTCTTGCTTCTCATTTTGTCTGTGTGTAGCTCCTCCATACCCAGCACAGTGCCTTGAACATAACAGGTACTTAATAATGAGCGCTTGCTAGTTTGAATTGGATTGGTCTGGTCTGGCCAGGAGTGGTGCCTTACCTCCATTCCTTAAAAAATGTAACCTTAATCCTTAAGTACACAATGCATTGAATTGATGGACATTAGAACGACTATCTAATGACCTTGCAACAATACCTCTGAAAAGCTTTGTGCTACTGTAGGCGATATGGCAGCCTATATATTTAGCACCAAGGGTTGTAAAGTCCTTTATGGGTCTTGGTTTTTATATAGGCCAGAGGGTCTATATAAAGCCTATATATAGGAGAGGCAGTGTTCTATAGCAGATACACTCCAACTACAGAACTGGACTTGGGGTTACTAAGGTTCCGATTTGAAAATTGTTATTCACTTCAGCACTACCTAAACGTTAACTATGATCAGATGTGTATTTAATGTTGGGTTTCCTTTCCTTATGTAAATACCAAGGAAAGAGACATTTGAGTTGAACATAAGTCAAGATTAGCCAAAGTAGGAGGTTAGCATTTTTTTTTTTGGCTGAGGCAATCAGGGTTAAGTGACTTGCCCAGGGTCACACAGTTAGTAAGTGTCAAGTGTCTGAGGCCAGATTTGAACTCAGGTCCTCCTGACTCCAAGGCCAGAGCTCTATCCATTGTGCCACCTAGCTGCCCCTAGAATTTTTTTTTTAAGACAAACAAAAAAAATAAAACAAAGTACTAACTATTTGTGCTGATAAGAGGCGTATTCTTGCCAGTTCCATGATTTCAGTGCTAATGCCAGCCTCTCCCATTTCCTTGTTACAGCTCGGACATTTGATCTTCTGATCTGCATCTTCTGGTGTCAACTAATTGTAAAAATCAAATATGCTACTATAAATACAGAATTAGTATATACATCAAGTAATTAGCAAACAGGATTTTTTTTTTCCAAAAAGGATAAATAATGAAGGAAAAAAATCTTTCATCTGATATCAAAAATACTATTTCCAGAACTAATCAAATTATCTGGATATCCAAAATTCTCCAAATAGGTAGGCAATGGCTTACTTTATAGATAGCTTATAGAGTTTGGTTTCAGGGAACCAGTTATTTTTCTGAACTGTATTCTGAAGTCCTTGGATTTGGGTTATGATATTGATGGGGTGCTTGGGTGCTTGCACTCAGATCCTACTTCTAAGATCATATTTCTCCCTAGCCTCAAAACACTATCCCTGACAATTTTCTCACCAGCTCAAAGACCCTATCTATGGCAATAACTTGGAGTGGGCCCAGTAAGGCAAACTATCTCACTCTCTCTCCCTGTTTCAACAACAATTAGAATTAGAATTACCCCAAATTAGAATGGCCCTTGAATGAACAAGACTAACTTCTCTCAATAAAACTATCATGTACTGATTCCCACAGTTATTGTATACAATCCAGAAGTCAAGTTATAGACATTAACTCCTATCTTGTTACAGACATAATAAACCAAAATATACCCCTACACCCCTTAGGAACCCTCTCTCTGGTTTCCAGTAGTGAATGACACCTGTGCCCAGGGTTGTATGTTACCACTTAATTAGCATACTGGCCACATAATTCACTACTTTTCCTATATAAGCTTTAGTATCATTCTTGTTAGATGGCAAGCTCCCTAGGGAGCTCTGTTCACCATATTAGCATTACAATAAACTTTTTACCACATGACTGGAAGACTGCTTGACTGGATGAATTCTTTCCAGACAAGTCTGTGTTGTATTTTGGTATTTTGAGGTTCCTACATCCCCAAACTGCATCAATATCACCCAGGAATCTAAGGGCTTTTTTCCCACTGCCAGGTTCCCTGAACTAGGGTTGAACTTACCATTGGTTTTGACTTACTTCTACTGGAGTGTGAATCACTGATTAAGGATCATAGGAGTCATCTTTGGAACACTTTTTCATCTGATACCCTTTCTTCAGCTAACACCAGGAACATGAGGTAATTTCATCCCATTCCACTATAGTAGATTCTGTGGGGGATGCTGTTAGGTAAGATAATGAAAAATATTATGACAGCATTCTCCATAGCACCTGACTGGGATGGAAAGACCTCTTGCCCCTTAAATAGGGGCCTAAAACTCCAGTGGGGGGGCAAGTCAGAACCAATGTTCTTCCTATTGTGCTATTAATAATAATATCAATAATGATAATAACTAGCATTTATATAATGTATTACAAATATTATTTCATTTGATCCTCACTACCACCCTAAGACGTAGGAACACATTCTGTATATATTAATTAATATCTACAAAGTTCCTCCCCCCCACTATTGTGCTAAACATTAGAGAACCACTGTAACTTGTCTATTGATCCTAAAGATCAAGAATCATGAATCTGTACTCATTTCATGAATTAAATTTACTTGAGGTTAATCACATCATACTCTGTAGGGAAGATAAAATAGATTAATTGCTTACCTTATATGGATTTTGAAATGCGATTTTTTTGTCAACCAAGTTCCAATCTGCATTGGCAAGATCTCTGTCAAATCTTAAAGCAGAGGCTGCAATCTTGGTTATTTCTTGAAAATGTTGAACTGTGTAATAGAGTGACTTGCGTTTTGTTAATGTAATATCACGGAGGCCTATCAAACAAAGAATGAGTCTTTAAATTGTGGAAGGCTTGGCTTCTCTCTGTAGATTTATATGATTTCCACTCATTCAGCTTTTAATGTCTTGATAAGAAATATGAAAGGAAATGAAAACTGAGACACTCAAATCAGCCAGTTTTATGATGGAAACAACTTAGAATTTCAAATGGTTTTACTTCCATACTTTCTTTCATTTGGAAGAATGAAAATCAGGGTCAGAATGCTTGTGAACAAAATTACCCATACTCCCTTGTTTTCAGTAAGAGTTTCATACAAAATACAGAATTGTTGTCAGCCAGAATAAAAGCTTTCTAACTCCCCATTGTTTCAATTGCCTTCACTTCAACCTAAGCTCTGTTCAAAGACAAAAGTGAAACAATCCCTGCCTTCAAGGAACTTATATTCTACTGTGAGGAGGCAAGATGTCCATATGTGTCTATACAGATTCTCTCTCTCTCCACACACACATATACATACACATGTATATGTGTGTATATGTATATATTGTGCATCTATATCTGTACATACATACATATATATGTATATGTATATGTGTATGTATGTGTATGTATGTATGTGTGTGTATATATATATATATATATATACATATATATATATATACACACAAGTTTTGAGAGGGAAGGAACTAGTAACTTGGGTAGGGAGATTGGGAAAGGCCACATATGGAAGACAATACTTGAACTGAGTCTTTAAAGAAACCAGAGATTCCAAGCAGTGGAGGTGAGGAGGTAGAGCATTCCAGGCATGGGGGACAGCCAATGAAAAGGTTCAGAGAAGGAAAACAAGATAGCATGTATGCAGAATAGCAAGGAAGTCAATATGATTGAACTTTAGAGGGCATGGAAGAAAGTGATGTGTAAGACTGGAAAGGTAAGAAGGGGGAAGATTGTGATGAAATTTGAATGTTAAGCAGAAGAGTTCATATTGATCCTAGAAGTAATAAAGAGTCACTGGAGTTTATTTAGCATGTGGAGTAGGGGGATGGGACATCTCCCCCACATCCTATCATTTGCCCAGGCGTCTTAAGATCTTTAACCTCATTCATGACCCACCTCAAGTGCCACCTCATCACTTGGAAGGCCATCTCCATCCTAGCTTTTTCCCCAATACAACTTTTAATACTCTCTCCCTCCTCAAAAATCTTCATTTTACTAATCTGCCATGTATCTTTCCCGTGAAGTATAAACCTCTTGAGGATAGTAATTTTTTTTTCATTTTTATTCCTGTATCACATGCCTTGTATATAATGTTTGCCGAATTGAATTGAATGGCTGCTTCAAAATAGTCAAAGTAAAAAAAAGGAAGATACCAGTTCAAACTCTGCCTTAGATACTTAATAACTTGTGACCCAGGGTGAGTCATTTAACTCCTTGTGGCTGCGGTTTCCTCATCTGTAAAATGAGGTGGTTGAATTCAAACACACTTATGATCTCTTCTAGGTCTACATCTATGACCCTAAGTTTATGACTGATATACCACATATTACTTTTTTTTTCACATTTGGTTTTAATTTTCTCAATAGTACATTGCATTTTGCCATTATTGCCTTTTTAGTTCTTCTAGTCTCAGTAGCTATTTATGGACTTCCTGTACAAAAGTTTTATTTTGTTTGTTTTGACTGATTATCTTTTATAAGTCAAAGTAATTGATTTGAAAACCCATAAAATAGGCCAGGAAAGACAAAGGAGTCAGGACAAATAGCTTAATTGACCCTGATGTTAATTATCCATATTTCCCAGTTTGTTCCAATTTCTACTTCTGCCTGTGTAGAATTATATTTATTTGGCATGTAACTTATTTGGGTTCATGATGATCAATTTTTAGCTTAATTAGCAGAAGCCATTTTGAGTTGAATGCTACCTAGGATTTTGGTCCAGCCTTTTCATTGATCTGCTGTGTGGTCTTGGGCAACTCATTTAATTTCTCTGGGACCTGGATTTCCTCACTGGTAAAATTAATAGGTTGTATTAGATAGACACTGTTTACTATCTCTTTTCGTAGATTCTCTGCATATTTTTTGTCTTCACAATATAAATATGGCTTACCTAAGTGGATAACTGCTCGAGGTAATGTGATTGAATTCATTAACAAAGTAATTAAACATACTGTCACTCCATGAAGTAATATCTAGAACAGAAAAACAAAACAAGAAATCTCCGGCAATTCATATATTATATCATTACCAATGTAAAATTAAGATCACTCTTAGCTATATTAATAACCCTGTGTACAAGTAGCTGATTCAACTTTAGCGTATAGGCAATTTTCCTTAAAATTGTATGTGGTAGTAGCATATGGTTGCCCTGCCATTCCTTTCCTTGCTCCCCAAACTGCTTCTTTGTGTCTTTGAGTGCTGTGCATCTACGTCACAAAGATCACCTGACCTGGGGAAAGAACAGGTCATGGCAGAGAAGCCCTGCTAGGCCCTATTGCCCTGTGAATTCTCTTTTCTGCTTCTTTTTATGCTTTCCAGAGGAAAGCATTGTATACATTTAGTTCTACTTCTTCCTCGCCTCCATTTCTTATACTTCATGATAAAACTCCTTGCAGAGATTAGGTAGAAACATGAACTAAAGACTTCTCCATCTCAACCTAGATGACATTGCTTTAAAAGTGCTAGCTTAGAAAATACTCAACATTATAAACAATTCCCTTTTCCAATGGCCAGACCATAAAAAAGATGAATGACCCAATGTGGAGCTAGAATAACTAGTATTTAAAAGTTTACTGTCATGTGGTATAGTGCAAAAAAGACCAGACAAGGAATCAAGAGATCTGAATTTTGCCATAAATAGTCTCTACAACCTTAGACAAATCTATTTTGGCACTAATAAAAGTATTGGACCCAATGTTCTCTAATTTCTCTTCCAACTGTGAAATTGTTTGTCTATGGTTTGAGCTGAGCAGAATTAAATAAAGATTGGAAAGGCAAATTTATTTCAAAGAGGCAAAAGGAACTATGAAGGATGACTGATATAAAAGCTTTTATTGAACCAATTCTGTTTCCTGGTTTAGGTCTTCAGTATATATTATTCTGTGGTTAAGGATCTGTTGAGTTATTCAAATACCAACAGCAGAAACATAATATCAGACTGTGTATGGTGAAGTAGAATCATGGAATAAAGAATAAGGAGGTAAGAGGTAACTCAAAGATCATCTAGTGAAACTGCTCATTAATCTTCTTTAAAATATCACCCACAATTAGTCATCCAACCTTCACTTTGTTGAGTCTTTGAGGTGCGTTTGACTCTTGATGACCCTATTTGGAGTATTCTTGGCAAAGATACTGGAATGGTTTGACATTTCCTTCTCCAGCTCATTTTACAGGTGAGGAAACTGAGGCCAACAGGGTTAAGTGGCTTGCCCAGGGTCACACAGCTAGTAAGTGTCTGAGGCCAGATCTGAACTCAGGCCTTCCTGACTCCAGGCCTGGCACTCTATCCACTGCTCCCCATAACTGTTCTAACCTTCACTTAAAGATTACCAAATGGTTAATCTGCAGTCTCTCAAGGCAGTCCATTCTACTTCTGGAGAGCTTTTTCACAAGAAGGACCAACAAGGATTTTTTAAAATTTTCTTTGGCAATTTTATTATCACGTTATTATAATTTTGCCTGTGTAAATGCACTTTACATACAAATAATTTTTGGCAAATATCATATTTTACTTAAAAATAAAAATTTTCATCTTATTACCTCTAATATGTATAAGAGGACTGCATCAATTGATGCAGTTTGCTTCTTCAAGGTATTCTTAAATTCTAGTCCTTTAAGTTAATTGTTACGATTTTTCTTAATTACATCTCAATATTTTTAAGGATCTGTGTTCCCGATAGAGCATGTTTGCTCTATCAATGCAGAGTCCTACCTATCCAATATTTTTTTTTATCCCTGAGTAATTCTTATCCATATACCAGATACCTTCTCTTAGATCCTTGCATAGTTCAAGATAACAGGGCAGTACTCAGGCTAACCATTAATTTTTTTTATTATTTTAAAAAATGTAATTGTCTCAGTTCTTTTTCAGATCACCCATTTTCTGGAAGATCTCTTATGCCACTTTTTGCAGGTAAGTCATTGCTGGAAATAGGCTGCAGCTTACTTATGTGCTCCGTTGACTTTTGCAACTTTGAGTCTTCAAAGATTATGGCACTTCAGAATTCGCAGCCCAATGTTACAGCATCAGCAGGAAGATATTATTGTTTAAAAGATTTTGTTTATGTGTGTGTGTGTGAGAGAGAGAGAGACAGAGACAGAGACATAGACAGAGACAGTGAGACAGAGAGAGAAAGATTGAAAGGAGAATGTCAGAGAGCAAGCAGTCAGAATCTTTAAAAGTACTTCATTATGACTAAGCAGCGTAATTGTGGGAAAATCACACAACCTTCCCAAGGAGAGGATTCTGGGAAGATGGCAGAGCAGTTCAGAAAACTTTCAGCTCTCCAAATTTCCTCTACACGCACAAAGACAAAATGTTACCTCAGAGTGAACACCGAGCAACAGAAATGAACAGGAGTCAGGATAAAGCAATAGTCTTCTTAACAACTTCAGAAAACCCTAGGAAAGATTGGACCTCCAGGGGCTGGTGTGCAAACACCTTCAGGCTGACTCTGCAGAATCAACAAACTACAAGCCCTGGGGGCAGCTGGGTTGGGAGGCAGCATCAGCCTCAGGAACTTTCACCTCATGGACAGTGTGGTGCTCAGAAGACTGAGGAGGAGAAGATTGAAGGACCTTCCACTGTTGAAGGACACCAAGAACAGTTGTGCTGACCTGATGCAGTCCTTGGCTACGGGCTGTTGGGGAGAAGGAGCTAACATATGCCTGGTGAGAGTGGTAGCAGAGGGGTGGGGACCCTGTTGGCTGTGGGCACTTGCAGGAGAGCAGAGTTTCTGGTTTCAGCTCCAGGGCAGAGAAGACAGCAGTAGTTTGCAACCACTGGAGGGACCACATGAAGCAAGAGCTTTTACAGGGCAGTGTGGCTGGGACCCTTAGCCATGGCTTAGAGGTAGAGAAGAGAAGAGAGGTAGAGAAGGTTGGGCCCCAGGACAGAGTTCAGAAAATAACAGTAAGAAGGACTTGAGACTTGGAGCATCATTCTCCACCCTTCACAACTAGAACTTGAGTATAATAATAGCTGCTAAATACAAAATAAAAATAAAAAAGAGTAAACAAAGGAGAAAGAACCCAACCATAGATGACTACTATGAGGGTAGAAAAGATCTGGGTTCATATTCAGAGGAAGATAGTGGGGTTAAAAACTATTCCTTTTTCAATGAGAAACATCAAATGGTCACAATTCCAAAAGGTGTTCTTGGAAGAACTTTAAAAAAGACTTTAAAAATAAAATAAGAATGATTGAGGAAAAAATAAGAACCATCCAAGAAAATCAAGAAAATTGTGAAAAGAAAGTCAATTAAAAGGAAATAGAGAATCAAACACTTGAGAAAGAAAATTATTCCTTGAAAACTAGAATTGAGCAAGGGAAAGCTAATTCTGTCATAAGACACTAAGAAATAATAAAACCAAATCAAAAGAATGAAAAAATAAAAGAAAATGTGAAACATCTCATCAGAAAAACAACTGATCTGGAGAACTGATCAAGAAGAGACAACATAAGAGTAGTCAGACTACCTAAAGGTTATGATCAAAAAAAGAATCTTAATAAAATATTACAAGAAATTATCAAGGAAAATCATCCTGTAGTTCTAGAACAAGAAGGCAAAGCAGAAATAGAAAAAAAAAATCCACTGATCACCACCTGAAAGAGATCCCAGGAGGAAAACTTACAGGAATATCACAGTCAAGTTTCAAAGTTCTTAGGTTAAGGAGAAAATATTGTAAACAATAAGAAAAAAAAATTAAATATCATGGAGCTACAATAAGGATTATGTAAGACCTGGCAGCTACTACATTGAAGAACTCTAGGTCTTGGAATACTATATTTCATAGATCAAAAAAGCTGGAGTTATGACCAAAGGTAACTTACCTAGCAAAGTTAAATATAATCCTGAATGAAAAAAAAAATAGACATTTAACAAACTGAAAGACTTTCAGGTATTTGTGACAAAAACAGCAGAACTTAATGTAAAATTCAACATATAAGATCCAGGAAAAATACAAGGTAAACATTAAAGGTCAATTATAAAGGACTCAATAAGGTTTACTTCTTGTACGTAAAAATGTTATCAGTATTCTTATGACTGTTATTATTATTTGGGTAGTTTGAAAGAAAAGCTTGGGCTGAGCTGTGTATGATTGGGTGAATCTAAAAAAATAAAACTGTGTAGGGAGAGATAAAAAGGAGTAATTACCTCATACAAATGAGACATGAAAGGAAGAGCTGATCCAGAAGAAGCAAGTGGGGAGTGGGGGGTTGGGAATAGGGCAGGTAGTGCCAGAACCTTACTCTCTCATTGGAAATGGGATAAAGAGGGAACAACACACATCTAGAAGGGTATAAAAGTCTTTTAAAATTTGAAAGAAGAGGGCAAGGATAAGAGAATGACTCTTAGAGGAGTAGGTAGGTTAAGGCATAGGAAGGTAAGGTAGTAGGTAGAAGTAAATTAGAGGAGTGAGGAAGGATAGGGTTAATAGGGCAAGAAGGGTAGAGAGGAAAATTAGGAAGGAGGGAAATACACAACACATAATTATAGCTTAGAATATGAATGAAATGAATTTACTCATAAAACAAAAATGGATAAAAGATTAAAAATTTGAATTAAATAATTTGTTGCTTTCAGGAAACACAATAAGAATTAGAGATACACACAAAGATGAAATAAAGGGATGGAGTAGAATTAATTATGTTAAAAAAAAGCAGAGGTAGTAATCATGATCTCAGACAACATTAAAGCTAAAATAGATTTAATTAAAAGAGAAAAATAAGGAAACTACACCACATATCACCAATATTAATCAATAGTATTTTAGATCATTTAGACAGAATAAAAAACCTAAGAGTATACCTGCCAAAAAAAAAAAAAAGACAAAAAAAAACACAGGAACTACATGAACATAAACACTTTTTATACAAATAAAGTCAGATTTAAATAATTGGAGTAATATTTATTGTTCAATATAACAATAAATTACAATTTTACCAAACTATTCTACTTATTCAATGCTATCCCAATTAAATTACTTTAAAATTATTTTACTGAGTTAGAAAAAAATAATAACAAAGTTCATTTGGAAGAACAAAAGGTCAAGAATTTCAAAGAAACTAGGGGAAAAATATGTAAAGAAAAGAGATTCAGCAGTATCAGACTTTATACTATAAGGCAAGAGCATTATTGAAATATAAAATGGATAATTTTGATTATTTTAAATTAAACCTTTCTTGTATAAATAAAATTTATGCAGGCAAGAATAGAAGGAAAGCAAAAAACTGAGGGAGAGGAGAACTTTCATAAACAATTTCTCAGATGGGTTGTGATTGTGTTGGAATACTGCTGTGGTATAAGAAATGATGAGCTGATTGACTTAGAAAAACATGGAAAGACTTGGACCTGTGAAGGAAGATGCTATCTACCTCCAGAGAAAGAGATGACAAGTGGAAATATAAATAGTATAGTCTTACACATATATGAATATGTATACATATATATGTGTTTGTGTGTGTGTGTGTATGTATGTTTATAGATATCTATGTATATGTATACACACTACATATATATATATCTCCACATTTAATTGTAGCCTTCTCTAGGGCAGGGAGGGAGAGAAGGAGAAAAAAAAATAAAGTAAAAAGTACACAGCAGATAACAAAAGAAAACCTAGAAGGAAGCAAAGAAAAGTTAGGTAATTTTTTTAAAAAGTGTTTATTATTATTTTATTTATTATTTGTTAATTTTTATTATTTATTTATTAAATAAGTTTTCTTGAAATGTAAATTTATTGTTTTATATTGAATCCTGTCTTTTGTTCTACTGTATACATAGAAATGTACTTTTCTTTTCCTTTTTTCATTTTGTATTTAAGTTAAAAATGAATAAAATGTATATGTATATGTATATACATATGTATCTATCTATATATATATATTCATAACATATCTCCGAGAATGATACATATAAATAGGCATACATATAATATAGTGCTTAGAAAGAGGCCTCAAATTCTATTCCAGTGGCAACATAGAGGAGAGCTGCCCCTGGGTTCTCAAAAGCTATGCCAGTGCACAGTGAGGTCTGGCAGGTATTACCAAGATAGAAAATTTTTGACTTGCAGGTCTGGTGATGGGCAGGATGCCTACCATCTTAATATCAGCCTAGCTACATCTGGAGCTCATTACCAAACCACTGGTCACCAGGTGATTGTTTTGGGTCATAGCATCTACTAAAAACGGAGATGGGAACTGTGGTCAGTATCAATGAAGGGAGCACTCATGTTGATAAAATTATAGATCTTTTAAAGGAGAGAAGATTCCCCTAACTTCTAAGTTTAATAATACTGTTATCAAGCCTTTACAAATTCCATTTAAGAGTTAAATCTCCTCTAGTCATTGGCCCTCAGGCTATATCTGTACTACACAGAGATTTCTAATCATCTAGTTACTTTATCAAGTGATTACTTGAGAAATTGCAATTGGATGATTATAAAACTTGTACTTTAGAAAGTTCATTATTAAATCTGAAATGCTTTTCTATTGTTAGCCCATGTTTGATTTTATTCCTCTGTAGTTTTTTTTAATATTTCCCCTGAGATTCTAGATGTTTTGTCCCCTCTAATAAATTATTTTATCTGATATTATGAAGCAACTGCTTATAATTCAATTGATATAGCACTGTCTATAAATTGGCCCAACCATAAATAATGGACATCCCTTTGTTGATAAAGATCATATTTTATGTCTATAAAAAGTGTATTTATATATCCAAGCCTGATTTGAAAAGTCATCAGAACTGATATTCTTACCTTGGAATACACAAAGGGACTTTGGGAATGCACCTTTAGCTTTAATAGGGAAGTTGGTGCCTTTTCCCCCTTCTTCATAGCCTTGATCTGAACCATTTCTTCTGTATGTGGATAAGTGCTATTGATCTACTTCACTGAAATATACGTAGGTTGTATTCACCAGAAGGATAGCATGGGATAGTGGGTGAATATCCAGCCTCAGAGTTAGGAAAACCTGAGTTCAAATCCTGTCTCTGAAACACATTGGCTGTGTGATTCTGGACTACTCAATTAATCTCTTGATATCCTTAGGCAACTCTCTGAGATTACAAATTGTAGAGCAGTTTCTTCTTCGCATTGGTGGTAGGGCAAGTTTCCAAAGAAGTTCTCTTCACCAATGAAAGCATAGATTTACACACACGCACACGCACACACATACCTGATAAGCACTCCTCTGATGCTTCATGGAATATCGAGGTGGCCTTGGGCCATTGGAGGTTAAGCCAGAATGTAAGCATTAGTAGGTCTTGCCCACAGTGAAAAACCTTTGATCACTGGCCCAGTGACGGACAATGTGTCTTTTGTCCAAGGACTAGACTAGCTGAGTTCAGAGAAGTATATCATAACAAAATTTCTTGGCCACAATTAATACCTATAAAACCAACTACCAAGATCCAGAGAGGCTATAACTGGTATTGGTGGAGGAATGCCCACAGTGATAAAATCAAGGATCCTTGAAATATTGAAATAAAATGAAACAAACGTTTTACAAAAGTTCCAAAAGAAAATTGCAATTTTCTTTACCTGAGATTTTTGCCTTTCTGATCCAATGGAATTTTCAGAGTAAGAAAGTATAAGAGCCATGTTTATGTTAAGCAGCCCCCTCATTTCACTCCAGACAATTGTAAATGCCCAGCGCCAGGTAAATCCATAGCCAAGACGAGATAAAATGGGGCTCAGTATCAGAAAGACCAGAATTCTGAAAGAGTTAAGAAACATCACTTGTTGTAATTATCAGGCCCATTGTATTCAATGAGAATTGTCATCTCTCAGAAGAACGTTATCCTGCTCAGGAAGGCAAATCATTCCTAGGAATTAGCTGTTACTGCTGGAAGATAATAAGCCAAGACAATGATATAGATAGGGGTTCAGCTCTGAGCAGCAGCTCAGGACCCCATTCAGGACTAATCAGCTATGATTGGTAGACTGACTATGCTCTTGAAACTTGATCTTGAAACTCAGGGTACCTTGCTTGATCATTTCAGGAGGAACTTCACCTTTGAAGTGTCTAGTAATTGATCCTATTTTTTGTGGCTTGAGGATTCTGTGTCCTTTGGCTATCCCTACAGTCATTGACCCAGGGCAGGTCATGGAATCCTAGAGATGGGTTGGTCAACTGGTTCAAACTTTTGTTTTAAAAAGGAGGAAACACAGACTTAGTGGTAACTTTTTCACACTGTTGTCTTCTGTATAGCCTAGAAAGTGGGGTTCCCTTGTTGGGATCCTGTTATTTTGCATGTTTTATTGGGGAAAAGAGGGACTTAATGCCAACTGATGTAAAGCAAAATGGGTCACTAAGTTGGTTAGTAGCCTAGAATGAAAGTTAGCTCATAGGCTATTCAATTCCTAGACTCCCATTCATCAATAAAGACAATAGAATAAACAATGCGATTTTTTTTTTTTTTTTTGCAATTGGGGTTAAATGACTTGCCCAGAGTCACACAGCTAATAGGTGTCAAATGTTTGGTCTGAGGCAGGATTTGAATTCAGGTCCTCCTGACTTCAGGGCCCTTACTCTATCCACTGCGTCACCTAGCTGCCCCAAGAATGCAATTTTTGATGAGAACAATGTGGGATGTTTTGCTTGGCTATTTTTGTGACATAGGAATTTCTTTTTTTCTTTCTCTCTCTTGCCTTTCTTTGTTTCTCTTTATCCTTCTTTTCTCTGTCTCTCTCTTTCTCTAAGTGCATAAGGTCAGATTTGAACCCAGGAATATAAGTCTTCAGACTTGGCACTCTGTGCCACCTAGCTGCCTTTAATAAATGTTAATTGATTGATTTATAAATTCATACTTCATGTTTCCATTGGGCTGGAATAAATTTCATATTTTACATAATTCTAACTTCTAATAGTGTGAATTCAAATATATGGGAGCTCTTCTGAGTATTTCCTATTCATACTAATCAGGACTTTACTGTATAAAAGAGAGATGAAACTGTAATTGCTCATTAGTTATAATCATTCATACCTGATGACAATCAGCGTGAAGTAGAGGTGCACTGCATAATATATATCTGAGAATGATACATATAAGTAGGCATGTGCAGGGATCAACATTCCAACAAGGGTAAATACCATCAGAGAAGCAAAAAATCTGATAGTTTTCCAGAATCTGTGTTTTTGAGAAAAGCATATATTTAAAAATTAAAAATAATTCTAATATGTTTACAATTTTACATACTATTTGAATCAGTATCACTTGTTTCTAGCTCAACTTGAAAGAAATATTAACACTAATCTATAGGACTGATTGGGACTGAAATATAACAGCAGTTGGATTCACCATGGCTTCTGTAGGCGTCCAAGGATACCGCCTGCTTTGTGGGATATTCCTAGTCTGACTCTCATGAAAGCAAGGTCTAAAACTTTTGTTATTGTATCTGGCAGCTATTACACAAGAATCTGACATATCATGTTATGGTTCCGTATTGCCATTTGATTTTGTGATGGTATAAGGATTTAAGGTCTTTTCACCCTAGAGGGGAGTAAATTGCATTGTTTCCCAATTCCGGATTCTGCTTTGGAACTAGCAGCCCCTAATGACTACATGCAATCAAGTTTGCATACATCTCAGTTAAAAGGGAACTCTAGGGCTGAAACTATTTCATGAGAAGAAATGTTTGCCTATGTTCTTGGTCCTATATTTCCTTTTTTGAGACATTCTGTCACTGAGGCATAGAGGTTGCTTCCAGTTCATCAAGAATATTTCTTTGAATATAACATACTCAACATTTACAAAAATAAACTCTAAAAAACATTAAAAAGGAAATATTTGACTTATAATTGTATTTAAAAAGAATAATGAATCTAAAAGATAACCAGAAGAATACTCAGTAGCAAATATCCTAATAGTTGGTCCTTATTCAGGATCATTTCCAGTGAGATTTTACTCATCCAGTAAACTTGGTTAACTGCCTCATTTCATGGCCAAACAGCACTGTCTTTCTTTTACGTAAGGACTGAAAAGCTATGATGGTCAAGTCCAGGAGTGGGGAACCTGCAGCCTCAAGGCCACATGTGGCCCTCTAGGTCTTGAAGTGTGGCGGCCCTTTGACTGAATTCAAACTTCACAGAACAAATCTCCTTAATAAAAGGATTTGTTCTGTAAAACTTGGACTCAGTCAAGGGGCCGCCACACTTCAAGACCTAGAGGGCCACTTGTGGCCTTGAGGCTGCAGGTTCCTCACCCCTGGTCAAGTCTGTTCTCTTGCAATTACCTTCTTTTTGGCCAAATTATGACAGTTCTACAGAATCACAATGACTTCGATGTTCAGTTCAACATTTTACTTTGCAAGGGTTGGCAGACTACCGCCCTGACAGCCACCTATTTTGTACCACTCCTAGCTAAGAATGGTTTTTACATTAAAAAAAAAAAATTTATTGTATTTAAAAATGTAAAACCATTTTTAGCTCCCAGGCTTCACAAAAATAGGTAGAGGGTCAGATCTGGCCCTCACATTTAGTTTTCTGATCACTGCCAAACTACTTCTCTTACGCGATTCAGAGTTACAGCTTTGTGAAACCATATGAAGACGTATCAGCTACTCACTTGAAAAGGAATAGATCGATTCCTGGTTTAAAGCTTGAAGAATTTAAAAGAAGAGCTGACACAGACAAAGAAATAATTCCAGACATTCCACTCCATTCAGCTATTTGAAAAAGCAAACAAAAGTGTTAATGTGTCATTGATAATATATATTAATATCACTGATGATATAGAACTGCCTCTATATCAGAGTACAGTTATCCCTTCTAATGGGGTGCTTGGGTATTTATGTTTAGGTGCTTGTGCTTGGACCCCAATTTCTCCCTAGCCTCAGAAACACTATCCCTAACAATTTCTCCTCAGCCCAAGGACACTGTGCCTAGCAATTCCTCATGAGTGGGCCCCAGAAAGACCCTTATCTCTTTCCTTGGTGCAGTTACAAACAGCACCTGAAGGAATTCAGTTTGAACTGGCTTTACACTGGGTCATAAAGACATTCTTACTCACTGGACTATCTATACTACCACCCTACCTCATTATCTACATCCTGAACTCCTCATTATCTGTATTCTAGACCTAAGACACATGTATACTCCCTACATCTATCTTGTCAAACAAGACATTGACTGGGGGCAGACTGGACAACTCTCAGTTACCCCTGAACTCTAGTTAACTTAGTGACATAGCAGGCCTAAAACCACACCTCCATGTGGCCCCCCTTGTGGGCTTTTCCCAGTGAACTCTGGGTAAAACACCTGCGCAGTAGGTACAAGAAGTGCATGTTCCTTTAAGAACTGACCACTCCTTAACCACTCCCTAATCCTGCCCTGAATCACCTAGTTAGCATATTTGACACATGTTTTATTATATTTTATCCTATATAAACTTTAACTGTACCCCTCTAAGATCACAGGTTCCTTAAGAATCCTTGCCCGCTGAAAAGTGTAACAATAAATCTTTGCCACCTTGACTTAAAGAATGCTTGAGTCTGCGAATTCATTTCAGACGACCCAGTCCTGTACTTTGGTCTTTGAGGGGTCTCAACCTCTCAGACAGCAACACTTCCACACTGCAGGGGTTAGGTGATGGCACCCCCGAAATCAATCTGGAAAATCCATGTAAAATTTTTTGGCTCTCCCTTCATACCAGAAAAGAAGTCTGAATTTTTTCTTTTTCTTTTGTGGGGTGTTTATAGTACCTCAGTGTAAAATTTGGGTTAAGTATTTGGTCATAGGCTCTGTGTCATCTGTTGGCTTTTGAGTATTGTCTGCACCTTCCTCAAAACTCCCCAAAAATTTCCATTTAATTTCTTGTGCTGACCCATGATATGTCAAAACTGCGATGGGGAAAGTCATGATGTGGAAAGAATAATTGTAATCACATTGGATAACTTGACCGCATGATGACCTTCTGGAGCTGCTAACTACTACTAACTACCTATTGAATACCTTGTTCTCTTAAATTCAACATGACTCTAAAAGAACTCATTACCTTTCCCCCTAAACCTTAACCTTTTCCCAACTTCTCTGTTTCTGTCAATCCCATTCACTCCCATTCCTAACCTTAGTGTCATCCTCAACCCCTCGTTCTCTTTCACTGCCCCTCCCCAACTTATCTGTTGCCAAGTCCCATCAATTTTATATTCACAAAATCTCTCCAATATGCCTCCTTCCCTCCACTAACATTGCCACCACTCTGGTGCAGACCCTTATCACCTTATGGGTACAGTATTGTCATAGCCTTCTTTTCTCAAGTCTCTCCCCACACTAATCCATCCAACACTCAGTTACCAAAATGATCTTCCTAAAGTGCAGATGTGATTAGAACTTAAAACTATATTATAAGGTGAGAGCATTGTTGAAGTGTAAAATGCATAATTTTGGTATTTTAAAATTTTCTTGTATAAATAAAACCTATGCAGCCAAAAATAGAAGGAATGCAGAAAATTAAGAAAAACTTTCATAGACAATCTCTCAGATAGAATGTGATTGGGTTGGAATATTGCTGTAGTGTAAGAAATGATGAGCTGGTTGATTTAGAAAAACATGGAAAGACTTGGACTTATGAAGAAAGATGCTATCAACCTTCAGAGAAACAGATGACATGTGGAAATAAGCATAGTACTGTCTTATAAATATGTGTACGAGTATATACATGTATCTATCTTTGTGTTTATAGATATCTATGTATATGTATACAAACACATATACATATATGCATATACATATGTATATTTGCATACATGTGCTTAACTGTGCTTAAATGTGCTTAATGTAACCTTCTTTGGGGAGGGAGGGAAAAAACTAAAAAGTACACAGTACAGAAGAAAAGAAAACCAAAAGGAAGCAGAGCTGGACGGCTTTGAAAACAATGTGTAGAATTTATTATATAGGTTTTCTTGAAATGGAAATTTATTATTTTATATTGAATCCTCTCTTATGTTCTGCTGTGCACACGGCAATTTTTTTTCTTATTTTGGATTTAAGTTTAAAATAAACTTAAAAACTTACAAAAATAAATAAATAAAATGCAGGTCTGACAGTGTCCCTCCTCTGCTCAATAAACTGAAGTAGCTCGCTGTTACTTTTCGAATCTAATATAAAATCTTCTGTTTGGCTTTGCCTTTTACAGCTTGGTCCATTCCTACCTTCGCTGTCTTCTCACACCTTCCTTCCCTCCACGTGCTCTACGATCCAGCAATGCTGGCCTTCTTTCTTTCTTTCTTTCTTTTTTTTTTTTAAAGTTTTTGTTTGTTTGTTTTGGCTGGGCAATGGGGTTAAGTGACTTGCCCAGGGTCACACAGCTAGTAAGTGTCAAGTGTCTGAGGCTGGATTTGAACTCGGGTCCTCCTGACTCCAAGGTTGCTGGCCTTCTTTTTGCTGCTCATACAAGCAGACTCCATTTCCCACATCCATGCCTTTTCCCTAGCTTTCTTCATCTCAGTCTCCTGGCTACCCTGATTTCCTTCAAGTCCCAGCTAAAATCCTACCTTCTACAGGAAAACTTTTTCCAGTTTCCCTCCTCCCCCTCCACCCCACAATGCAAGTGCCTTTCCTCTGAAACTACCTCCCAATTACCATGCATATATTTTGCACACAGCTGATTGCATGTCCTCTCTTAAAAGAATGTTAGCTCCTTGAGGGTAGGAATCTCAATTTTGTCTTTCTTTGTATCTCTAGTAGTTAGCACACTGTGTGGTAAGTACATGGTAAGGGCTTAATAACTGCTTACTGACTGATTGTACTTGAATTTCAGATAGATAGTGCAGTGATTATAAGGGTACTTGGGAATTTCTCCATGTCACCAGGGTTACACCAGGGTTTTCAAATACTTGCTCCACATTTGTACTGGGTAATGTGGGTCCAACCCAATGGCAAGCTGTGGTCACTTATGGTCAACTCTGCTACAGAGCAGAGTTGCTAACAACCCCAGGAAATGGGTGCTATTATTATCCTCACTTTAAATTTGAAGAAATTGGGGCAAACAGAAGTGATTTGCTGAGGGTAGCACAGTTAGTAAGTGTCTAAAGCTGGATTTTAATTCAAGTTTTCCTGATTTCAGGCCCAATGGTCTATTCACTGCATCGTCTAGCTTCCCTGAGAAAAGATCATTATTTCTGAATAATTCAATTTAAAAATATCTGATTGAACACCTATTAATTGCCAACTATGTGCAGAGCAAGGGGCTAGATGCTGAGAGACTAGCAAAGTTTGGATAAGATGTGATTCCTTCCCTCATAAAGTTAGCAGAATAAAGCCTATGACTAGCAGAATAAAACAAGCAGAATAAAGGGTTCATGAATAAGTTTTCACTTACCCACATAAAAGTTGATGTATACTAATGAAAAGCTAAGCATTCCTTCACTGACATCATCACTAAATATACTCCCGAGCCAAAACTTGAAAATTCTGTAGTTTACAAATCCAAAAGCAAGACTTCCGAGAAATTTTTTCATAATTTCATTAATAATATTAACACCTGCAGGAAATTGGAATAAGGGAAATGGAAAGTTTAAATATCTGTCCCCTAATGTGAATCTCATCCTGAGTCCACACCCAAATTTCCTATCTGGAAATTACTTTTGGATGAGGAAAAAGAGGCATTAATAAAACAATTCTGGCATAATGTGATAAATCAGCAATACTGCATCATGACTACTAAGGTAATTTTGCTGCATGTTGTTAATGGTATTTTAAAAAGTTACCATTGTCCTCACAGTATAAATATGAATACTTCTATAGTCATAGGCTAGACACTTGAGAAACTCTTATCCTAAGTGAGTAAGGAGTGGAACCAGTCAAGAAGACAAAGGAGCAGTTAAAAAAAAAAAGCCAGGAGAGCATGACATCTCAGAATTCATAAATTCAATTCAATTCGAGAGCACCCACTTTGTGAAATGCATTATGTTAGGTGATGAGTACACAAAAAATGAAACAAGACATAGTCTCTACTCTCGAGGAGCTTACAGTCTAGTAGAATTCAAAGGAATAAAGACTAGTAAGAAGGAAGGAAGAAGAGAATAAAATATTAAAAAGATGTCAGAGAAGATAAATACTGAAAAGTGCTGTTAGCTCTGATGATAAGGAAGTTTTGGGGGACTTTTGGGCAGAGGGGTCCATGACTGCAGAGGAGAGTCTTAGATCCAGTTTCTTAGGGACCACCAGTTTCCCTAATAAATTGAAACTGCTCAGAATGCCTCAGTGTCCTTGTTGTTGCTGATTGGAATTTTGGAGTCACCAGGAGTTTTCAAGAGATATTGATTGCAAAAGTGAAATCAATAGGTCTTGGCAACAGATTGGATATGGTGGTGGGGAGAGGTGGAGAAGAGAGATAATGAGGACTTAAGGATGACAAGTTGCAAGCCTAGGAGTTGGAGCAAAGAAAGGAGAAGATAATAGGTTCTCACTTAATGTTGTAGAAAGGTTCTTATAATAACTGTCAGCAACTCCTAAGGTGATCCTGAAGGTATTATCAGCTAAAGCAGCCAACAACATGCATTCTCCTTTAATTAGGTGTGTGAGGCCCTTTGAAAGACCTGCGAAGAAAAGAAATTGATTTTCAAAGTGGTATTAAATGAAGAGATTCATATTTATTAGTAAACTGCAGTCTAACTGCCAATTGCATAGCACATGTATCTTTGTCTGCTTTCTAGCCACACTGACCCACCTCAACAAAAAGTCATTTCAAGAGAACTTAGTCACAGGAAAAACTAATTCTGCATTCTTAACTAATTCAATTGACTTAGGGTTGCTTATGGTTTTCATAAAAACTGCAACCTTAAAATAATCATATCCTGAAATGATACCATGTTTAAAAGCAAAGAAATGTTTGCATGGAACAACATAGCAATACATAGTAGTAACTGGAGTAAGAATCTTAGAATCAAACTCTCAGGCCTGATTGACATAGTGCAATGTTTCCATTACATTTTTGCATTGGATTAGGAGGTCCAAAGACCTGGGTTTGAATCCTGAGCCTGCCACTGAATAAATGTATGATTCTGTACTAATCCCTTAATTTTTCTGATTTCTAATTTTCTAATTCTTAATGTTCCCTTAGTTTTCCTGCCCATAAAATGGGAAGAAATAACCTTGCCCTACCTGCTCTACAGAATTGTAGTGAGGCTCATATAATATAGAATGCTTTGTAAGCCGTGATGCACTATACAAAAATGCAACAATTGTTATCATTAAATGGTCGTCTAAAACGGATGTGCCAAGCAGAAAGTTTTTGAAAATTGATCTCTTTATTTTTTGGTGAGGCAATTGGGGTTAAGTGACTTGCCCAGAGTCACACAGCTAGTGAGTGTTATGTGTCTGAGGCAGAATTAGAACCCAGGTCTTCCTGACTCCAGGGCCAGAGCTCTATCCACTGTGCCACCTAGCTGCCCCAAAATTGATTTCTTTAGCAAAAGGACCTTTCTAGAATAATCTAAGCTTTCAACTCCAGCTCAAAACTGGCCTGAAAAAGTTACAACTCAACCCAGTGATCCTGACACCTCCCCTCCCCACCCCACCCCACACTCAGGATATCAATATCAATTTCAATAGCCAAGGGAATTTAAATGCAACCTAGGAGAATCTAGATGGGCAAGGAAGGAGAAAAATGTGACCTACCAAGATTCCTTATGGTACTTGCAGTCAGCATGGGATCTGTACAAACAAGGATGATTGCAAATAATACCCGGGAAGTGTTTTCCAAAGCTAACTTATTCACAGCCCTCAGATACCAGTCAACTAAGGCATAATTCAGGAAAAAGCCAGGGACTGTAAGAATGAATATCTGTGGAGACATGTCACAAGACAAAGAACTCAGACCATCTGTATGGCCTTATGTTTCACCCTTATAAAAGTAGCTACACAGTGACAGTGGGGCATAGAGAGCTAGCCTCTGAGTCAAGGAAGACCTGGCTTTAAATTCTGCTGCTGACACACACTGGCTGTGTAGTCCTAGATAAGTCACTTAACTTTTCAGTACCTTCAGGTGACTCTAAGACTCCAGTTACAGTGCAGGTGCCTATTAGCATTGGTAGAGGGAGTTTCCTTATTAAGAATTCTCTATAACTGTGAAATTTATTACTTCCCTAGAAAAAGCATTAAAAGATAAACATGACAATATCTGCAAATATATGAAGACACATCATGTTAAGAGAGAGAAAGGAGAGAAGACACAGAAAGTAGAAGGGCAAAGAAAGTAATAACAAATGAAAACAATTGATATTTTTATAGCAATTTAAGGACAAAGGGGCTTTATGTCCATTGAAGACAGGAAAGGAAAGCAAGAGATGAAACCCAGATAGTATCCTTCCCAGCCTCTAACCTTCATAATGCTTTGCCAGGGCTGCCTCTTCCTCTGCTCATGGCAGCTGTTTGTAGATGGAGTGTTTAGATAGATTTTTAGATAGACAAGATTTTTTTTTAAAGAAAAAATAACTTAGAATAATGAAACAAACAATAGTGCCAGCAGGAATCCAGTAATAAAATAACTAGAAACCTTTTTTGTGGCTTTTCTGATGGATGTTGACTTGCGTGCAACAGAATACAATTAAATCAAACAAATCTTGAAATGCGTTTTAAGGTAAAAAAACAGAGCTGTTTGTGAGTCAATGATGAAACAACCTTATTAAAATTTTAGAGAGCTTATGAGAATATGAAAGGGCTATGAGGACAAATCCCTGTCCTTCAGATCCAGAGACACATGAAGCAACTGAGTTGAAAATAAATCAGAGGCTTTTGGGGGAATTACAATTTTTCAAAATGAGTACTCACATAGAGCAACTCTGACCTGTGTCTTAGCTTGGCCAAAATCAGTTCCATGTCCCTTCGCTTAAAATGACATGACTTTAGTGCCTGAGGTTATGGGAGGACTGAAGGAAGTTTTGAAGGGGGTGATTTTTTTTCACTCTCCTTCCCTATGTCTTTCTACTAATAGACACTGTTATAGACTGTTTTCTTCTTTTTTTAAAAAATCTGAGCTAAGCCCTTTATCCAGATTTTGCTTCATATAAAAACCCATGGTTGCTCATGAAGGCTTATATCACTCTTCTGTCACACTTATCCTTGTATACTTGCTCAATGTTGGGAAAAAGGAAATGAAGAAGAAATGAGGGGGGATTGGCTAAAAATATGCCAAAATCTCAGTTAGAGTAGAGAGCAAAACCTCTGTTCAAATATTGGAAATATTCATTACTAGGGGCTCTGAGCTGTTATGACTTTGTTAATAACATTTAGTGTGATATGAGGTCTATAAAACATTAGAGAAAGGGACCACATAGACTTGAAGACTCAAGGCTAAAAGGTAAAGTTGTAAAAGAGTGGAGTTGCTTAATGCTTCATCCTCTGATATGAGAGAAAAGCGGGACAAAGAGGTAAGGGTGGTGAACAAAGAGGTCACACCCTGAACTGAACTTGTGGTAAGTGATAAGCAAGGCCTTAAAGAATTTAGACCTACCCTTTTGCAGAAGGCCCTTAGTTGCTGACCCACTCCACTCTCCAGTGACACTTGTTAGTGACCCTATGTTAATATATTAGTTAACTTAAAGCACTTAGCTGCTAACTTTCATATTTCCATGGCTGTTTGGATGACTCTACTACTTATCCAGATCCTAAGGAAACAGGATGACTAACTAGTAGATCAGCATAACAAAAACAAAATATATTTAAAAAAAGTTATTTTCACACACAAAAAGTTTCCTTTTCCTTAGAAACTCATGTTTCTATTGTGTAGATAAACAATAGAGGTCTCAGTTTATCCAAAATATTTGAGTTAGTGGCTCTATATAAGTATAGACTAATTTAGCTCTTCCCTAACTTTGTAGGCACCCAAGCAATTGCAAATAGAATCAAAGAAAGGATTGCAGAACAATGAGACTATTAATAATAGCTAGCTGTCCTATACCACTTTAAGTTTTGAGAAGGGCTTTTTCCACGTTATCTCATTTGATCCTCATGACAATCCTGTGAAGTAGATGCTATTTTTTATCCTTATTTTACAGATGAGGAAACAGGCTGAAAGAGGGTAAGTGACTTGTCACACGGTCACAGGCACACAGCTAGTATGTGTTAGAGGCAGGATGCAAAAGCAAGTCTTAACTCCAAGTACTGCATACTATAAGCCAGGCCTCAGCTAAGAAATTAAATACCCAGATTTATTTTTGTCTGAATGAATGGAAAGCACTCCCTTCTCACCTCTGCCTGCTCTTAGAATCCATAACTTCCTTCAAAGGTAAGTTCAAATGCTACCTCTTTTTCTTTTTTTCATCTTTTTATCTCTTTTGCATGTTTTATATTTAAAATTCTATTTCTTTCCCAATTACATATAAAAACAATTTTAACATTCCTTTTTCAGATTTTGAGTTCCAAATTCTCTCTCTTCCTTCCCCTGCCTCCTACCCCCCACATTGAGAAGACGAGCAATTTGACATAAGTTATAAATGTATCAAATGCTGCTTCTTACAAGGACTTTTTATTGACACTAGCTCCTCCTCTCACTCTAAGTATATTTTGTATTAATTAATGTTGGTTTCCCTCAATGGAATGTAAACACTATGAAGGCAGGAAATGTTTCATCTGTCTTTGTATCCTCAGGGCTGAGCACAGTGGCTACTACATACCTGTCACTTACTGGAGTGATTAAATCAAAAGTAGGAACTAACAATTGAATCATTTCTTTAACATTATTTTTCACTCTCCCAGACATAGCTTCTCCCTAACTTTGAACCTAAAGAAAAAAGAAATCCTTTTTTCTTAAGAATCTTAGTTGGATTTGAAACTAACTTCTGGAACCAGATATTCTATGTACTCTAGGCACCTCCTAACATGTAGCTAAATTATATTAAATTACATTATAGGAGAGAAAATCACATTGCTTACTTGCCAAAATAGTTTTTGAAGCATATAAAAATCTGTCTCAAATGAAACTGAAAATATAATTACTGGAGTAAACAAATTAATAAATATGACAGGATCCATCCATTGTATCAACTCTGTATATTTTTGCACCTGGGAACATGAAGGGAAGTAGAGTATTTCAACATCACAAACAAATGCCAGCTTCACATATTATAGCTTTTAATAATAGCATCTATATAAAATGCAGACTATCCACAAAATATGGAAAGAGTTCATTTAGTTTGCCAATGTGCACTTTAACAACTGAGTCATTTTCAAAGTTGAATCTGTTGTTGAAAACCTCATAAGCACATCAAGTTATTTTTTATTCCTTTTAGCCAATCCAGTGGGATCAGTGCCCTTCTTTCTATTCACCGGGTCAACACCTTAATGTCAGTCACTTGTCATTTTTCAGTTGGATTACAGCAACGGCCTCCTACTTGGTCTACCTGCTCCAAGTCTCTCCTCTCTCTACCCTATCCTCCACACAGCTGCCAAATTTATAATCCTAAAGCATGGGGATGACCATTCTCTTCCTCGAGACATTCCAGGGGTTCCTTACTATTCCCAAGATAACATACAAACGCCTCTACTTTGTCACTCAAACTCCCTCACCTTCTGGCTCCATCTTGCCTTTCCGGGTTTGCTGAATATTGTTCCCCTTTATGAGTCAAGTCCTACATTTCTGACAAAGTGACCAACTTGCTGTTCCCAGTTTCCAGTATTCTATGCCATCTCCAATCCCTTATATAGGCTCTCCTCAGTGCCTAGAATACGCTGTCTCCTCTTCTCTACCTCTTAGAATTCCTAGCTTCTTTCAAAGTTCAGCTCAAGGGCTACTTTTTCTACAAGACCCACCCAGAAGCCTCCTCTCCTTCCCTCTCATCCTAACCTCCACAGTGTCAGCACGTTCCCTGAAAGTACTTTGTATATATTTTCTATTTATGTTTTCAGGTACCGTTGTGTCCTACCAAGTAGAATGTAAATATCTTCAAGATAGGGACTATATGGTTTTACTTATTTATTTTGGATTTGTTTTCCCAGAGCCTCCTACAGTATCTGGAAGGAACACCACTGAATAAATACTTGCTGGATGTTATGAATGAATGAATGTGGTTATGAGAAGCAATCTATTGTCAGAGAAGGTCTTGTACAAAACTGATTGGGCATTGCCTTCCTGACTCTGATGGGTTAGACCTCCCAAACTAGAAACAAATGATTTTAGCTAACTTGCAGCAAAGGACCTTCTCTTTACCTTCTCAAACTTTTTTCTACCCTAAACAAGAAAAATATTAAAACTCCAATCCTGCCTCAGATACTTAACTTTGAGTGAGTCACAACCTCATCCGTAAAAGGGGGATTGCTGAGTCGTTTTAACCATATCTGACTCTCCATGACCCTATTTGGGATTTTCTTGGCAAAGATATTGAACTGGTTTGCCATTTCTTTCTCCAGTTCATTTTGGAATGAGATGAGGAGATAAGGAACTAAGGCAAACAGGTTTAAATGATTTTTGCAGAGTCACACAGCTAATAAGCATCAAGGGTCAAATTTGAACTCAGGTCCTTTTCTGACTTCAGGGCTGGTGCTCTATACACTGAACCACCTACCTTCCCCCAAAAGGGGGATAATAACAAACTTTACCTCACAGAGTTACTCTGAAAAGCAAATGAGTTAGCATAAATAAAGTGATTATAAAACATTAAAGCACTATATGAAAAAAATTTTTAATATCCCCATCTTTATAGTGCTATTATTACAAGAATCAAAGTTCTGTTTGCTATTGGTGCCTCCCAAGTATTGACTTGTTCTCCACCTGGGTTTCTGGCCAAGCTGTTTGACAAATTTCCTTGCTTAGATTCTGGGCCTATGGCCTATAATTCCCAAAATTAAGCTTCAAATAGACCCAAAGGACTAAATGACCTTTAAGATCTTTTCTAACTCGCCAGTCTGAGGTTCTTATGATGCCGGCTCAACAGCATGACTCCTATTGCCTGCTCTGATGTCTGGTATTTGTCTTCCTCAACTCTCTTGGTTGCAGCTCCAACCTTGGGAAGTGGGGACAGCCACTCAAGCCATGAGTCTTCATCTATAACCACATTTCTGGCTTGGGTGGTAAATTCAAACATGAGATTGTAGGATAATGGAGTAGGAGCTGGAAGTGAACTTAGAAACAATCTACTCTAACCCCCTTATTTTTACAAGCTCATAGGTTAAGTGACTTGTCCAAGGTCACATGGGTAAAAAGCACTAGAGGCAGGATTTTAATCCAGGGCCTTTGAAGTATTTCATCTGCTAATCATGAAAATAATCCATCATGACAATAACTGTTTTTGTGTTGGCTGCAATGAAAATTCAACTATAAAAAAGGGGTAGAAAATTTATCAGATGAGTAGGGCCTGTGTTCCTTTCCAACAAAATAAAAATTTTCTGTGGTTAGGCTTACATAGCAAAGCAAAGATTTATATAATAACCCCTCCATATTTTCAATTTCTGATTCATAGATGTAAGTATTAAAAGTTCACTGTGTTATTCCACGATCTCACCTCAAATAATTATGTCTCTTAAACTATTGATTCTTGCCCTTAAATCCTACCACTTGACCCTGACAAGCTTGGTCATCTGGGCCAAGAATTGGGATTATGGGATGCAGAGTTGACAGAGAGTCTGGATGTCTTCTGTTCCAACCACCTCATTTTGCAGATAAGGAAACCTGAGGCTCAGAGCCATTAAGTGGTTTGTTTCAGGTCACAGCTGTAAATAGAAGAGCTGAGATGTGGAACAAAATCTAAGAGTTGGGAAGTCAGAGACAATGTAGTTCAACCTCTCCCTGCCATAGGTTCCTGCCCCACAATATTCTTAACAAGGGTCTGCCGTGTTTGAAGACCTCACCCTCAGTGAGGGAGAACCTGTTATCTCCTGGACAGTCCATTCTACTTGGGGAATCCTCCAAGTGTTGGGTGGTTCTTCTGCATAGCAAACCTAAGTCTGTCTCTTGGTAACTTCCACCTATACAGTTCCTCGTCCTGATCTCTGGTACCAAGCAGAACAAATCTGTTCTCTCTTCCCCATGACTGCAGTGGATTCTGAAAGAACAGACCTACACAACGTTTGGCCGATGGGCCGCTTAGGGCCTGTACACCACTTCTGGTCTGCAAAAGGATTTTGCCTGCAAAAAATGTAGAGGATGTAAACTAGGCCTGCACAACATACCGCCTATGGACTGCTATGGCAGGCCATAAGTCACCATATGTTGTACAAGCCTGTGACAGAACATGTGCTCCAATTCCCTAATTATTCTAGGCAGCATTTTCTAAACATGCTCCAGGTTGTAAATATCTTTCCTAAGATGTGATGCCCAGAACTGAACATAGAAATAATAAATAAATAAATAAATAAATAAACAAATAAATAAATGAAACAAAACCCCTTTATCTAATGTCCTTTTTTTCTCTTTCTTTCTCTCCTCATAAATCTAACTGAATGAGAAGTCAAGAAGCCTGAATTTGACAGTCAGTTCTTTTACTCAGCTGGGGGAATTTGGGCAACTCATTTAACTATTCTAATAACCCTTAGGTTCTTTACCTACAGAATGAGACCATTGAACTAGTAAAAGATACCTTCTGGCTCTCAAATTTGAGGATCCAAAAATATCTTTGTTTCTTTCCTCCCATACATGCAGACTACTTGATTACAATTAAGTGACCTCAAATAGTTGAGCAATGTATAAATGAAAAAATATATGACCAGGATAATCACTTTTTACTACATATATTGGTCTGGGTAAGGCTGCTTGTAATCCTCTAGCACAATGGCAGGGCAGGGGGGAGGGAAGGGAAGATTTCCTTCATTTTCCTGTCATATTCTCCTCAGTAGCCATAGGACTCCAGCATCAATAATAACTCTCTATAACTGCATGCATATTGGAAGCACCTCACGTGCAGAAACCCCGTTTTTCCCTTTTTCTGTGTCCTAATGTCTTCTGCCAGTGCAAGTCACTTATCTATTAAAACCAAAGCCAAAAACATTTGTCATACAGATGTTTCAAGAGCTACCTTAACCCAGTCTATATTTCTGTTGCTTTTTACTAACATATAATTTTTGATACAAACCTTAAAAGATGAAAAACTTAGGATTTCAAAGGCACATCCTACTAAAAACAGGATTATTGGGAGGGGAAATAGTGAATCTTTCAACTTGATCTTCAAAAATGCTGCAAACAAAAATATTTGCCATTAGTGGAAGGGAATATATTTATCCAACTTTCAGATGGCATATTTGGCTAGGAATAACAGTGATGCATTTATATATATGGTCACATTTTGTGTTTAATTTCTTGCATTAAAACCCTTGCATTGCTCCACTATGAGGTTCCTGAAATTTAAAGAGCTGTTTCTCAAATACGGACTCATTTCTCAAATTCTTGGCAAATACCCATAGCACCAACAATGGAACAGATTCTGACAGAGGTTCTTGCACTAACAGTGCTTAGTAACTTTCAGAATCAAAGGTCCAGTCCCTGTGGTGCCTGTCTCTAATTGGTGAGTATTCCCCTAATTTTGCCAGTCTTGGGTTCACCATGCCACTTCATGGCTATCTCTACCTGAACCCCAACTTAAGAGCACACCAATCAAACGTCTTATGACTCCTATCACCATTCACTCTGACTTTCATTAAAAACTCTTCCTTGTCCACCATTTCCCTGAATGTACATTAATCCCTTCCATATTGCAGGGGTTAAGGGTACAGCAACCCAACAATCTGGAAAATCCTTGTAAAATTTTTTGGCCCTCCTTTTGTACCAGAGAAGAAGTCTGAATTATTATGCTATGAAAAGATAAAATATGTTGATATTATACAATACTATACATAAATTTTATGCATTTGGGAGTTTCTAAACCTTTTCTGTGCTCTCTGCTGGCCTGCAGGTATCTACAGCTTCTGCAAAACTTCCCCCAAATTCCCATTTAATTTCTTATGCTGACCTGAGATATATTGAAACTGCGATGGGGAAAGTCGTGATGTGGAAGGGATAACTGTACTGTCTTCTCTTGTTAAAATGTAAGCTCTTTGAGGGCAAAGACTGTCTTGTTTGTTTCTCTTTGCATCCCCAGAGCTTAGCACAGTGCATCGCTCAAAGTAAGATCTAAACTGCTTCTTTCATTTTCTTTACCTCACTGAGGTATTACCTTCCCATCTCTGAAATCCTATAGGCACTAATTGATAAAAGGACTAACCATCTTTAAATCTGTCTCCTGAAAGATATCAAAGTAAATACTAAAGAGAAAAGCCAATTAGAAATCTCCAGGATAAGGAAAGTTCATAGTCACTAATTTTATTCAATGCTTATGTAATGTTTTACTCTTTTTCCTGATTTTAAAGCACATTAAACAACATCCTAGTTAATTTCTGTTTGTTTGCATAGTCCTACTATTTTATACACTCAGCAACTTAGTCCTTTCTTACCACTATTTACACAAATGACCATAATGAAGAATTGGCCTTTTTTAATCAAAGAAAACAGCAAGAAGAAACCAGAGAAGTTATGTAGATTAGAATATAATAATTATTATTGTGGGTAACATTTACATAGCATACTATGTGTCAGGCCCTGTGTTAAATGCTTTACAATTATTATCACATCAACCATGGGAGGTAGGTGCTATTATGATCCTCATTTTACAGATGAAGAAACTGAGGCAAACAGAGGTTAAGTGATTTGCTCAGGGTCACACAGTGTCTGAGGCTGAATTTGAACTCAAGTCTTCCAGATTCTAGGTCCAATGTTCTATTCATTGTGCTACCTAGCTGCCTAATATATCAAAGAATGCACAAGTAAATGAGCTCTTCAGCTGGAATTGAGATAAGATCTCAGCCCAAACCAGGAGAGAGAACAAGTTTATCAAAGGGTAGTCTGCTGTCAGTAGTATCTAGAGATGTAGGAGCTGAAGGCATAGAGACATATAGGGACCAGCTTCTCCTACAGGTCCCCAACATAACCACAGTCCAACATTCAAAAGTCCACACCTTTCCACTCTCACAAGTCTCCTTTGAGGTCCCAGGTAGAGTTATGTGTCCATCAAGTTGAAGTTAAGTCCCTTCTCCATTCACCCAGCATTATGGCTTAGCATTCTCTCAGTAAATCAGGATTCATGTCCCCTTACACAGATACAGTGCAAGACTTTCAGGGCACCCTCTGAAAACCCACCCTCAAGTTGGGAAAAGGAAGAGTTACAAGTATGACTCTCTCATTGTTTTCCATCAGTAAGGCAATTCTACAATATGGGAAAAGAATATGGGAAGAAGTTTCTAGATCTGCTTCACCAGCAGGGGACTAAGTAGATTCAGGTCATTCTCTGCATGAAGGTGTAGACTTAGGGGAAAAAAAAAACTTTCAAACTATTTACTCAACATTGCCCTTAATTCTGAAGGATGATCCTTTCAAGGTATAGCAGACAAAATAGAAAATGGAATAGAATGTTAAGGAAGGAGAATTGTATACATACCTCCAAATATATTTATAATACATAACCCAAATACAATTTTAGGGAGATACTTTGAGTGGGTAAATATGTGACCAAAATATGTTTTCCAGTTGTAACGCTCAGTACTACCAATATAGGCATAAATCCAGGTGGCATTTTGGGGAAGGAGTCTCATCTTGCCACCTTTGAAAATCTCACTGTGAAGTCTTATCCCTGCATCAGAATGAAAAAAAAAAACATGAGACTTTCTTTCATCATACTCTAGATATCATTTGTGTAGTACTTTCCCTACATTTCCTTTTATACTATTTCCAATGATTCCCAACTATTTAGGAGCAGCGACTTATCATGTTAGGTCAACCTGAAAGTCAACTGGCTTCTTTCTTCCATCATCAATTAGGCAACACGACTAGAATGGTTTCTAGAATGATTTAGGAGCTTCTAGCAAAGTCCTGGAGAAGCTGGTATGGAATTGGGATATATCTGAAGGCAGAGGAGAAGAAATAAATCTTTAACAATTGGCTCTCTGGAGGGAGAAATGTACACTGGATACATTTAAGTTTAATCTCTATTATTGGCAGTTTCTCCATCACTTTCTTAAGTCTAGACAATCAATAAAACCATCAAAACAAAACTGAGAGCTTTTCTCATTATATAATTGTGTGCAGTGTAAAGTTCTGAAATCAGCAGACATGGATTCAAAACCTAGCTCTGTTGCTTACTAGCTATGTGGTTATGCGCCTTACTATTATTGATGATGATGTAAATAATAACAATAGTTGTCATTTATATAGCACTTTGAAGATTGCAGAAGACTTTATCCAAGTTTCATTATTTATAATAATGAGGGAGTTCAGGCTTGTTGATCTCTAAGGTTCCTTCTATTTCTAAATACTATGATCTGACAATCTAATAAATTAACAGTGTGATAGACAATACTACTGGATTTGAAGAAAGAATATCTGAGTTCATGTTCCAATTCCACCATTTACTATGTGATAATGAGCAAGTTGCTTCATTTTACCTGTGTTGCAGTTTCTCCAAAATGAGGAGTTTGAGGAAAATGATAAATGTTGGAGAAGATGTGGGAATATTGGAATACTAATGCATTATTGGTAGAGTTGTGAACTGATCTAACCTTTCTGGAGAGCAATTTGGAACTATGCTCAAAGGGCTATAAAACTGTATGTACTCTTTGACTCAGCAATATCACTTCTAGGTCTGTATCCCAAAGAGATCATAAAAATGGGAAAAGGAGCCACATGTACAAAAATATTTATAGCAGCTCTTTTTGTGGTGACCAAGAATTGGAAGTTGATGGGATGCCCATCAATCGGGGAATGGATGAACAAGTTGTGGTATATGAATGTGATGGTATACATTCCATAAGAAATGATGAGCAGGAGGGTTTCAGGAAAACATGAACTGATGCTGAGTGAAGTGAGCAGAACCAGGAGAACATTGTACACAGTAACAGCAACATTTTGCGATGACTAACTTTGATAGACTTAGATCTCAGAAATGCAAGGATTAAGACAACTCCAAAAGATTCATGATGGAAAATTCTATCCATATCTAGAAAAAGAACTATGGAGTCTGAATGCAGATCAAAGCATGCTGTTTGTTCTCTCTTTTTGTTGTTGTTGTTGTTTCTTCTTCTCATGGTTTCTCCCAATGGTTCTAATTCTTCTTTACAACATAACTAATGTGAAAATATGTTTAATATGAATGTACATGTATAGCCTATAACAGACTGCATACCTTCTTGGAGAGGGGAGAAGGGAGGGAGATGGAGAAAATTTAGAACTCAAAATCTTTTGGAAGTGAATGTTGAAAAATAAAAATAAATACATAAATGACCCTCCCAGGATAAACTCATCATTTCTAATCTCATCACCATGAAGCTAACTCAAATCTGGATTGACTCTACCTCCCTCAGCCTCCTTTCCCCTCTCTTTGGAGAGAGGGAGGGTGGAGTATCAAATATTCCTCCCAATACCTTCCTTTATGGGGGCACAAACTGGACTTTTAGCTCACTCCATTTCTGCTGCCCTGCCTAGTTTCAACTCCATGGAATATAATACCTCCACTCTGGGTACCTCCTGTATCCCTTCATCCTCCCATCCCTGCTTTTTTTCCTCCTTTCATATGTTGTCTCCCCCTTTAGATTGTAAGCTCATTGAGGCTGTCTTTCAATAAAATTTATCCTTAATGCTTAGCACAATGCTGGCACATTATAGACACTTAATAAATGTTTGTTGGATTAGATTATTGGATTAGAAGTACCCTTCAGCTCTAGATGTACAATACTAGGAATTCCTTAGTACGTTTCCTACTTCTTGGCTGGAGATCATTGCTAGAAATATGACAAAGACTAATTAGGTCCAGTATACATCTCTCCATTGCCCTTTGGGTTACCAGCAACCTTAATTCCAGCATGTCCAACACATGCAACATCACTGTAAGAAGATGGATGATAAAGAGATGACTTTTTATGTCAAGGAGCAGCTAGGTATTTTAAGAAGGGCAAAAACCTTTGGTAAGCACACATGCCCAATGTTTATAAAAAGAGGATTTTTCAGTTGAATTCTATCTGTTTGTATTCAAGAAGGATTCTTGCATAATCTTGACATATTGACCTTATTGGAAGAGAGCCTGTATCTGTGCCCCGATGGGGCTGTGACTCACAGAGGGAGAAACTGAAGCCAGGGACTTCAGAAACTGCACTGAAGACTATGGAAATGTTTGAAATATCCAGTCGGGTCCACATTGTTATGCTTTCACATGATGGTAGATTTTTGTGAAGATTTGTTGCTTACTCTCTTTCTGTTGTTGTTGTTCAGTTGTTTCAGTTATGTCTGACTCAAGGTGATCCCCCCCATTTGGGGTTTTCTTGGCAAAGATACTGGAGTGGTTTGCCATTTCCTTCTCCAGCTCATTTTACAGATGAGGAAACTCAGGTGAACAGGGTTAAGTGACTTGCCTAGGGTCACATAGCTAGTAAGTATCTGAGGCCACATTTGAAATCATGAAGATAAACTTTCCTGATTCCAAGCTCAGTGTTTCGTCTATTGTACCTTCTAAGAGGTTACACTAATTCATGGTAAATGAGTTACACTAACAATCTCCTCCTTGAAAAATGAGATAATCATTTCCTTTTTCCTCTCAATTTTAGCATTTGTCAGCAACCCGTGACTTGCTGCTCTACTCTCTATATCAGACCACCAGAGACCATGGCTGAAAGGAGCAAAGTTTTCTACCCTGTCTTTCTACCCTGCCACAATCTTTGAGTCACTGCCTTCTTCAATCTTCTTCCTACCTCTTGTTCTGTGTGCTACAGTCAAGTGAAATATTATTATTGCCTCTGTCAAAAGCCCATGAATGGACTGACCCCATTGCTCCACTCACTATCTTTGTGACTTCCCAGACCATCATTCCTTTCCCTGGCTCCCACCAATTATATGTGTTGTCTCACTCTTTAGAAAGTAAGTTCCTCTGAAGTTAGGAGGTATCTTTACTTTTGTATTTCTATCTCTACTGCTTAGTGAAATACTTGGCACACAATAAGCCCTTGCCAAATGCTTACATTCTTTAATTGATCTGAGATCCAAATGACAACTCAAAAGCTATGCTTAGCCTAATATTGCTTGTGGATGTGACCATCTAGACAGGAAGATGGGTTTCCCACTAGTAAAGTCTCCACCTTACAATAAAACATCAGGTCTACTCGTTAAGAGAAGATAGGGCAACAGGTATACAATCTAATTTACTTTACTTTTAATGCTTCTTCATTCTTGATAGTTGGTCAGTATGAGTCCTTCCTCCGTTTCAGAAATCAGCTCTCAAAACCTGAGGAGATGAACACCAATAAACCATCAATACATCCTCTCTGGGGATGCAGTTACTGCATTTTATTTGCACCAAGGATTTATCTAGCCTGACCTATGTTGTTCAGGGACTATCTTACATGACAGCACTGGAATGAAAAAAAAAAATCGAAGAGTTGGAATTTAGTCAGCCCAAGCATTGAAAGGGTAGGTGGGAAGAAGAGGAAGATCTGGAGAGAACAATTTAGGAACCTGAGTGGTGGGAGCAAAGGAGGCAATTTCCAGCAGTCTGGCTGATGCTGGCTGGTTGCGTGAAGAGGCAATTGCTTCTCTCAGGAAGAAGACAAATGAGATTTAGGGGGAGGAATTGCCAGTGAGGAAGAGCTCTTGGCACTGAGGACATGTCATGGAGATGGCTAACTGAACCCTGCAGAACCTTGTCTAAGCCCCACCCCTGCTCTTCACCCATTGGCTCCTAGTACCTGATCTATTACCTGATTGGCCACTGTAGTACAAGTCAGGAATTCTCAATTCATCTGTTTGTTGTTTCTTGAGATTTCAGATGCTGAACAGGAAGTCACTGTTCTCAGGTTAAAAAACTTGACATCATGAGGTGGCAAATACAATTTTCATTTTAAAAACATTTGAATTCTTTAGTTTATATAGCAACTATAGGTAACAACAATTAATGGTGCTGAAATTATTTTTTTTAACACAGAACAGAAAACATTTATGATATCAACCTTGCTAAATAACGAATTATATCCTGGCTTCACAAATCCCTACATCATTGCCTAATTATTCCCATACCATTGTGAGATATTTAAGGGACATTATCTTAAATAGAAATATATACCTATGTATGTATGTAGGTATAACTAGTAGCAGGCAGATGATAAGTCCAAATACTCATCTACTTAGTTGTTTAGGATGTAGAAAGGACTATAATTCTAGGCTGTCTAGCTCAGTTGTTATACATCTGCATCTTATTATAGTGAGCAGCTTGCAAAAAGTTTGACAGCTCATTTAACAATCAAGGTTTCTTATGTTATTTACAAAGATCAGCTCAAAGTTGTTTTTTTGTTTTTGTTTTTTTAGGCAATTGGGATTAAGTGACTTGCCCAGGGTCACACAGCTAGTAAGTGTCAAGTGTTTGGTCTGAGGTCGGATTTGAACTCAGGTCCTCCTTACTCCAGGACTGGTGCTCTATCCACTGTGCCACCTAGCTGCCCCTTCAAAGCATTTTTCCAAACTAAATCATACATACTCTCTTTTCTTTTCTGTTTACTTACTCTTCACTTTGCAAAATCTGGAGAGAGTTTATATTTGGTAATTCGTAAGTCAAGAG